TACTGGTCTACCAGGCTGTACCGATCTACCCATTTATTTTTGCAGGCACCGGTCTACTCATTCATTTTCTTTTAACACTGATCAGCTGTAGGGCAGCCCTTTGAAGTCCAGCAGCAAGAGTTTAAACAGTTTTTTCCCCTCTAGCCGATCAGGTGGGACTCAGGAGGGAGCAATAGATTGGGGGTGGGGCCAAATAAAAGGTAAGAATAACGCAGGGGGCAGGGAGCAAAGGGGCCCACAACAGGTTCAGTGACGTCATATCGTCACCGCTACCGGCTTGGCCGAACCAGGCCAAACCGGGAGGAACCCACCACTGATCTGGACCCCACAGTTCAACTCTGAGCTACAAATATTCTTTAGATTTTCTTATGTGGGCTGCTTATAGGGAACTTAGGCGACTACAAGAGGTTAAACAAAACATACCCCTAAGTGCCTTGGGATACCATCTTCCTTTGTGTTTTAATACGCAACTAAGTTTTATGAACTATCGTAATACATTCACAACTTGGTCCAATTTATGACTGCTAAATCAAAAAAGAATAGGGCAATTTTTTTAATTAATATTGAGACATTTTTATTTTGGTTATACATGACCATAGAACACAATTTCAATTGCATTAAAATTTGTTAGTATTTTTATAATATTTGGTCATTTTACTTGGGCAAAATAAATGTTTTCTTAAGTAAGTAAACATACTGAAAGATGGAGGAGGAAGGAGACCATCAAACAAGGAATAGCACTTAAAGAAGATCTGGCTGAAGGATCCAATTTCCCTTATACTACTTGGATTACCCTGAATAGGTTGAGAGTTGGAGTGCCTAAGTGTAAAACCAATATGCTGAAGTGGAGGCTCTTAGCAGCTAACAACATGCTGTGTGAATGTGGAAAGATGCAGAGTACAGCCCATCTGCTGGCATGTCAGCTATTACCAGAAACACATCCCAATGATGACTTATTTTTGGCTAACCACAAAGCCAAGAAGGTGGTTTTATTCCAGCAGTTTAAAGTTTGATCTAGGCACAAGAAGAAGGAAAAGGAGGAGGAGGAGGAGGAGGAGATATCAAAAATAATAGATGCAAAAGCTACTTTAGATATTGTGTGTTTTTATTGCATTTATTCAAAATACAATTCTGCATTTTGTATATATACATAGTGTATATTTGTATAGATGAGTGTAATTTGTTTAAACAATTAAAATAGACTCATGCCAAACCCAACATCTTTTATGATTATCATTATGTGTAGAAGTAACAGTACGTTCATTTACTGCAAGGGGAGGACAACATGTTTCTTCTGCCTTTATTTTATTATATTATTTTATTATTTTTATGTCTTACACAGCTGCCCATATTATAATAAGAATCATGCACAAAACAGTAAAAACAACAGAATTCCCCAAACCATAAAATAAAATAAAAATCAATAAAATATTTTTCTTTTCTGTGATTCCTGAAAGGACTTCCAAGAGTATCTTTAAAAAGTTGAATTTTCGAATATGAGAGACTCCTGAAAATTCTTGTATAAGTCCTAGAATAGGCTTAAAATCTTTATTAATATCCCATCACCAAAAATGAAGAAAATGAAATCCTGGCACCATCATTTTTACCTCATTAGCCTGCCCATTTCAACTTTCATTTCTCCTAACTACTATTGTCTCCTCATTTATAAGGCATTTCTGTCCTTTCCAAAATCTGTTTTAAGTGCCTGAACGGACATGCTGTTTAATATTTGAAACATCTTTTCTGAACTGGCTAAAAACCTACAAGTAGATAACTCTTATTCTTGAAATCCATGCAATTTTTGTAAAGGGAGAATGCAGCCTACCTAAATCTTGTTTGCATATTTTCAAATTCATTCAATCAATCTGTATTTAACTTTCAATGCCCCTGTTGTTTTTTTAAAAAAGAAACATGCTACCTTAGGCACATTTGAACAGAAAGCTAACATTATGAATAAATAATAAGTGGGTCTCATAATTTGGTTGGATATAAAGTGTACAGCGGTATTTTTCCTTGAAGGGGGTAAGGATGACATCACTGCCTTTGAAATTATTGTTTTAGGAAAGCGAAATATTGATAGAAATGTTATCAGTGTCTTTTTTGTTTTGAAAAAATGGTTGAAGAACAATACATATAATAAAACTTCATTTCTAAAGTTTGTACTAAAAATGCTCCCCCAGAACTACTCCCTAATCAGAACTAAGTTGCTTTGGAGCCAAACAATCACAGAGCCCCCAAAATTAGGGGGCGCTAAAATAGGACCATAGGATTGTTGCTAATAAAAATAGTTAAATAAAAAAGAAAGGAAAGTCTTTTTGAATGTTTAGAATAGTGTAAGAATCCTGCCCTCTTGAGAACTGTAGTTCTTGTTAAAGGAATAAAAACTGAACAAATTGCAGGTGTCGAACAAGTTCTGAGCGTTTTAGAATACCCATTTTATGGCCTGACTGCAATCTATCTATCTTTCTTTCTTTCTTTCTTTCTTTCTTTCTTTCTTTCTTTCTTTCTTTCTTTCTTTCTTTCTTTCTTTTTTCTTTTTGAAAAGGGAAAGGCAAATAAAAAAATTAAAAATGGCATTGGTTCCTAAGGATCTCTCTCTTAAAAAAGAATAATAGTATGTTTCTAATTACCATCTTTTACACCTGAATTTATCCTGTTGAATGGCAGAACAATACTGCAAATCAAAAAAGTTTTCAGATTAAGATTCATTTGAAGGAAGGTGCAGGCAAAACCTCTGCTTCATGCACAGTCCTTCTACAAACTGATAGAAGCCAATTAATTGAGGGCACAAGCTCTATCAACAGGGATTCTTGGAATTTCATTTTCATTTCTGTGTCTTAAGGACTTTACTATTAGCAATTAAATACCACCAGCGCCACCTTATGGCTATAAAAATGGTTACCTAATATTCTGCTATTCTTATTTTTCTATGCTTAAGAATGGATCCAAACTTAGTTATACTGAGATTTAATTTCATTAGTTCTCTTGCTTGACTCTTGTCTTTTAGTTATTTATACATTTCAGTTATTTATTTAGTGCAGATTATTTTGCTCTTAATGCATATATGTTTCCAGGGTTCCTCCCTTTGGGTACATAGTCTAATATACTAAATACTAAATGTTACTATTTATATATAGATACTTTTTATATTTTTATATACTTTTTATATTATACAATTTATATATAGATACTACATGTTGCCATTTGTGATGCGACCTAGGATGGTGTGGTGTATGTTAATGCATCTACAATGTGGAAATAAAAAATCATGATAAATTGCTTATAGACCAAGACACAAATATATTAGGTAAAAACAAACATTTCTAGGATTTAGTAATATGGAAGGTATACCAAGAGTTTGGCCCCGTAGACAATTTTTTGCATGCATTACATTAAATGTTTCAATTGATTGCCATTTTCTTCTAAATACTTCCTTATTTGTTTGATATATAAGCTCTGAATGTTGCTAAACACAGTAAGATTTTCACTGGATCAAATAATTAATAAAACATATTTTGAATGGGGCCTGATTTTTGCAACACCTTATAAATTTGGAGATTGAAGACAAGTTTCCACATCTAAAAAACTAAAAGGTACTGTATCTTCCATTTTTGTCAACCTCTTCTTCCCTTTCATATTGTCTTCCCTTAATTATGTTCCTTTCTTTTCTTTGACCTCTGGATTTCTTTTTTTGACCGCTGCTCCCATCCCTAAAAATCTGTTGCTATTTTTTTTCACCTTATGGAATCCTCCTGGTCTTGCTCTTATTCCAATCCTATCAATCCAGTTATAGCAAAAGCAATCACATTGATTATTTTATTGGCTAGATAATTTAAAGCTGTAAGCATTTCCTTTCTTTTCTGTTAAATAATAGAGGAAGGGGGGGGAGCTACTATGATGAGGTAATATTCCAAGCAAAGCTGCAAGTAAAATTTTAAACCCAAATTGGGAGTTAAACACAAAATAGATATTGAAATATATTTCTCTGTTCTCTTATTTTCCTCTAATGAAAGTCATACATGATGGAAAAACAGATAGTATCCTATTCATTCAGCAATACAAACTCTAAAACAATTGATAGGTCTATACCCAAAAAAGGCTTAATAATCTCCCTCCCACCCACCCCCATTCAATTGTACAGGTAGTCCTCAACGTAGGACCACAACTGAGTCCATTTCCATTGCTAAATTAAGTCAATTTTGCTCCATTTTGCAGTTGTTAAGTGAATCGCAGCAGTTTTTAAGTTAGTGACATGGTGGTTAAATGAATCTGGCTTTCCCATTGACTTTGCTTGTCGGAAGATTTCAAAAGGTGATCACATTGATCACTCCGGGACACTGAAGCTGTCATAAATATGAGTCAGTTGCCAAGCGTTTGGATTTTGATCATGTGACCATGGGGATGTTGCAATGCTTGTGTGAAAAATGGTCATAAGTAACTTTTTTTCAACTTTGAAAAAAAAACTGTTATAAGTTTGAACAGTCACTAAATTAAATAATGTAAGTTGAGGACTATCTGTATATAATTTTCAGAGGCTGCTTGGACAAATTCCCTGAAATTTTCTTGCTGAGGTATTCAAAAGTGATTTGCCATTGTCTCCTTCCTAGAGATGAAAGAAAATGACTAGTCTAAGATCACTCAGATGGCTTTATGCTTAAGGTGGAACAAGAACTCAGTTTCTTGCCTGATGCCTTAACTATTGCTATTACTGACTTTTTAAAATTATCTACCAAATGGTAAAAGGAGGATATACAGGTACAGGAGGAATATTTGAATTATGTGTTAATTATTTACTTGGCAGGACTGAAGTTCCGCTCTTTGCTTGAGAAGGGTTATTTGCCTGAATAAATAGAGTCCCATTTCTTACATTTTTAAATTCAGAGTCACTTTCCTTTTAGAAAAATGTGACCCTTAAATCTTTCCTACAAGAGTAGATATGGTGAATAGGTGCTTTTCTGAGACCTTCGGTCAGGTGCAAGAAATCAAGAACGACACAATGATTCGCTCAGAGTAGTTTCTTTACTGTTGTTCTCCTTTAGACAGGAATCTTGCCAAACTAAAGCACAATCTGCATAACTATTAGATACTATTAGATATACCCTGTGAAAAGTTACTCTGGACCTCTTCCTGCATATCAAGAGTTCCAGGCTGATTTGCCTCTTAGTTCCTTGGGAAAGACCCAGTAGTGAGTTGCCCCCGGTTTACACCGGTTGTATAGAATCAGTAGTAAAACCAGCGGGAGGCCCCGCCCACCGACCCCGATGTCACCAAAACGCTTCTGTGCATGCGCAGAAGTGTGTGCGCGCGAGCAAAAAGAGCACATGCGCACGGTCTCACTGCAAACCAATAGTAAAGGTAAGTAGAACCCACCCCTGGAAAGACCTCTTCCTTTTGCCACTAGGTATCACATTCCACCACATTTTCTTGGATAAGGTGGGACTGGAAAGGATTTTGGTAAGGATTTCAATTGTAGTGCAAAGGAAGAGAAAAAGAAGTTCAATGTATATCTTTCATGCTGGCAAAAATGTTAAAAGATAATTTTATTCTTCAGAACAATTAGAAAGGAATTCAATTAGAACCTTTTGCATGGGCAGCTATTATAGTGTTTCAGGCAAATTTTGGTTTGCCCAGCAGCAGTAACTTAACATAAATATTTGGAACAGAACTTCATAAGCCCATTTTATTTCAAAGCATCCATCATAAGTGCCTGGAATTTCCCTAAATCACAGTTTTTCATTACAAATGCTTTGTGTTCCTTTTTCAGATGGTCAGACCAATCCATTACCATCATTCCTCTAGTTAGAGAGCCACTGAGCTCAACACTTACACCAATTATTGTGACTTCCATGACAAAGTTTTCATCAATGGCAGCAGCCATAGCATAAGAGTCACAAGAAACAAAGCCCAAGTGAGGTTTTGCGATTTTTAAAGAATGAGCAAATATTTTCTTCATGAATCTGGCTTTCTCAGTATTCTGATTCACCCATTCATGGTAGAATTCCTAGGAAGAAAAAAACAATGTTCAACATTAAAAACTAGCCAAAGAGGGAATTATCGGGGGGGGGAAGGGGGGGAGATCAATGGGCAATCAGCCTGGGGGACTCACATCTACCTTGCTAGAAGACAAAAGAAGCAGACCCAATAATGTTATGTTGCTGGAACCAGTAGCCTTGGATTTTCTGCCCCCATTTTGTTATGGGGACTTTGAGGAAGGCCTAAGTCATCCATGTTGCCTTGTAAGCCTCCAAACATGAAAAATAAGTTTACTACTGCAGAAAGCATAAATCTAATAAAAGATGAACTGCTAACTTATTAATGAAATGTTCTGCCTTAGGAGAAGATTGATTTTAAAAAGATACCCTTTGCAGTCAGTACAAAACTGTTTCTATAGTGTACACAGTGATGGGTTGCCCCCGGTTCAGACCGGTTTGCAAGAACCAGTAGTAAAACCAGGGGGAGGCTCCCCCCCCCCCGGATGTCATCATCGGCGATCTGCGCATGTGCAGAAGCAAGGCGTGCGAGAGAGTGAAGCAAGGCACGCGTGCGAGCAAAGCAAGTGCGCGTGCGAGCGATCCCATTGCAAACCGGTAGTAAAGGTAAGTAGAACCCACCCCTGAGTTATGGGTATATGTACATATGCCTTAAACACATTTCATGGGGTCCCATAAGAATAGAAGTATTTTACTGCCTTTTTAAATTTTCAGTGAACCAATCCCAAGCATCAATCTGGTGGGAGTGGATTCTGAAGAACCAGAGCCAGGAAAGGAAAAGCTATTAACTAAGATAAGGATACTTTAGCATTTGGTAGGGAAACTAGCTGACCCAAACCCCCTAACTGTATCAAATACAGAGATATACAAGACACCAGCAGATTTTTCAATTACTGTAACTGGCTATGCCTCTGTGCGGGACTTGATATCTCAGCCCCATCAATTTATACTGTATCTTTCTTGAATTCCCAACCAATATTCCATCATTGAACTGAACATATCCAGTGGATGGATACAGACAATAAATGCAGTATCCAAGCCTGTATTATAACACTGCAATAGAAGCCAGAATGGTGTAGTCTTTAGGATTTAGGACTGAATTGGGAAGATCTAAGTTAAATTTCAGAAGCTCATTGGAAAACTTTAGAAAGTCACTGTCTCTCGGGCTATGATGTCTCACAAGCAGTGGTGGGATTCAGACAGTTCACACCACTTCGGGAGAACCGGTTGTTAACTTTCTGAGCAGTTTGGTGAACTGGTTGTTGGAAGAAATCGTTAGGGCAGAGAACCGGTTGTTAAATTATTTGAATCCCACCACTGCTCACAAGGCTGCCATGAGAGACAGAAAATACGTGCATTGCCTTAAATTCTTGGAGAGCAGACAGGAATTTGTGATACAGAAACTCTTAAAAGACTTGGGGAGGAAAAAAAGAGAAAAACGAAACAAAGCCCTAATATTCCAAACTAGAGGAGAAGATTGTAATATGCACTGATAACAAAGTTTCTTAATTTCAATGCAGTAGATAAATCAATGTAGCATGTGTTCCTAAATAGCCAGTGAAGGTGTTGAGTGTGGAAAGGCAAACTACTTACGATGTAAAAAAGATGTTGAGACTCTAGAAAGAGTGCAGAGAAGAGCAACAAAGATGATTAGGGAACTGGAGGCTAAAACATATGAAGAATGGTTGCAGGAACTGGGTAGGTTTAGTTTAATTAAAAGAAGGACTAGGGGAGACATAATAGCAGTGTTCCAATATCTCAGGGGTTGCCACAAAGAAGAGGGAGTCAAACTATTCTCCAAAGCACCTGAGAGTAGAACAAGAAGCAATGGGTGGAAACTAATCAAGGAGAGAAACAACATAGAACTAAGGAGAAATTTCCTGACAGTTAATAATTAAACAATAAATGGAACAACTTGCCTGCAGAAGTTGTGAATGCTCCAACACTGGAAATTTTTAAGAAGATGTTGGATAACCATTTGTCTGAAGTGGTGTAGGGTTTCCTGCCTGGCAGGGGGTTGGACTAGAAGACCTCCAAGGTCCCTTCCAACTCTGTTATTCTATTCTATTTTGCAATTATGTCTGTTTGGGAATTCTTTAAATGTGCATCTCTACGAGTTTTTGAAAAATGAATCTAGAAAAGGTGGGGATGCTTTTACAACAGGAGATTTCTTTTTCTGATAAATAATATGCAACAACAATTTTTTTCAATTAATTGTTTTATAATTTTAATTATATTTTTATGGAAGCCAACCAGAGTTGATGAAATTGAACAAAATGCAAATAATGTAAGTATTATCTATATCTATAAAGTATCAATTAGTTTCATATTCCTAATAAGAAATTCCTAATATTTTCTACATTTTTACTGCAATTTAAAAGCCAATAGAACAGCTGATAACAATAAAATAATTCAATGGGCGAATGTAAGCCTGTGATGAATGTTGACGATATTAGCCTAGAAATCTTCGATATGTTTCTTTGATGCACTTGAAAGAACAAGTAGTCCTTGACTTATGACCATTAATTCAGTGGTCATGTGAAAAAAAATGGCACTTGGCAATCTGCCTGCCCTTAGGATCAACTGCCTATTTCCTCCTTCTCATCCTGCTTTGGACTTGCTTTCCCACCCTATTGGGACTCACACCCTCCGCCCCATTCCCCGGCATGGATTGGTCACTTACCTTTTTTGGTAGATTTTTGGAAATCAGCTGCTCCTCTGCACAACCTTCCTACACAGCAGAGGCAGTATGGCGCCATTCCAGAAGCGAGTAGAGTGAGCCTATGCAACCTAGTTTAATTAACCTACCTATCTACACAGAACAAAACCCTATTGAAGTCAGTGAAACTGACTCCCAGTATAGACAAAAGAGTAGAGAAATCTCTTACCCAGGGCCGTGAGCAGGCACAGGTGAACTCCCAGGCTGCAATATACATTGGGCAGGTGTACTCATTTAAGACAATGTAAGCAGCTTCAGGATCAGTTGCAAAATTGAATTCTCCACACAATTTAATATTTCCTCTGGCTAAAGGAAACAAAGATGAAGTTTCTTTAGAAGAACCATTTAATTACTGAAGTAGATGAATTGGAATGAATCTATGTATAATTTCATATATAAACATCATGCTCATATAAAAACATGTTTTATTGACAATGTGAAATTTTATGGCTACTGTAGCTGTAGCTAAGTTGCAAAAATCCAGTCACTTAGTTTAGAAATTTTATCACTTATATAAATTTCATTACACATTAAGTGCAGTTCATTCATCTAAATATGCAGGAATGTTCCCTACATTCACTAACATACTTATAATATTTAAGTCACAATCTATAAAATATACCTATAAATATGAACGTGGATACATGTAGCTTTGTTTGCATTGTGTGAGAAAAGCTTTTTGCAAACATATTTTAAAACGGTAAGATGGATTTCCTTTTCAAACATATGGTCTTCTAATGACAATATTTCAAATGAAATGGCAAAATACATCCCGTCTCTGAAGATCTCTTGTGAAGGAGAGTTCACCTCTTCATATGCAGCTTATACCAGAAGCTGACAAGCTGTATAGTCAGGAAGTTCCTCTACATTGTAGCTGTTCTGCCATAGGCTTCCCAAGAGCATGAAGCAGACTCCTCGTCCAGATAAAACCTCTTTTATTTAGGTTAAAGGGAATTTCTCTCCAGCAAAGTTCCGGCAAACAGTCTTTATTGAGATTTCACAACCACAGACCTTTACCAGGCTTGGAGAACTGCCAGGCTGCTATCTTCCAAACACCACGCTGTAGAATTACTTGGCAAGAAGTCAGGAACAGATCTTCACTCTAATGAATTGAACCAATTGTCTCCTGCAAACTCCCCTCCCAGCGGTGAAATCCTCTGAAGTCTGCTACCAGTTCGTGCGCATGCGCACCTGAGGCGCGCCCGCACACCACTAAAAAAGGAACATTTTGAAGCCTTCCAAGTCTGCAAAGGTAAGTAGAATAGCGAGGGGGAGGGAATCTGCTGTACCACGTGATTTAGATTAGCTAGAAAGCAGGAAATCCGACGATTCTAGCTAATATAAATTGTGCATCACAGCTGATCGTCGCCCAGCTAATCATCAGAAATATCGGTTCACCCGAACCAGTAGCATTTTTTACAACCGGTTCACCCGAACCAGTCCAAACTGGTAGCATTTCACCCCTGTCCCCTCCCGTTTTGCTCCTCTTTATTCCCTATGGGAGGGGCCATTCATCGTCCACCTGTGCCTTTAGTCCCAAGTCAGCCCTTGTTCCTTAGCTGTTCTCTTCTCCTGTCAGCTCTGCGCATGCACAAATTTGGAACAGGCTCCAGCTGTTCTTCTGCCCCACTGATATCCAATTCCAATGCAGAGCACTCATTAGAGCCTTCCCCAGACTCCAGGTCTGGCCCATGTTCCTCCCCAACCTTCTCACTGACTGAGTCTGCCACCAGCTCCACTGGCCGCTGGCAGGCACAACATTAGCTTGTGAATCTTTCTTTCCTAACATATAGACAAACTTAACCACAGTTTCAGTTAGGAAACTGTGACCATCCTAGGCCAAGCCAAGTCCAAAAACATCAGGGAATTTCTAGAAGCCTGGCACTTTGACATATTAGCCATCAATAGACACATAGACATAAACAATATCTACAGTCCTCACAAAAGAAACAATCAACAATCCAAAAGGGAACAAAAAGACCTAAGCACCTCTCCACCAGCAATCAACACCCAGGTGAGCAGAGATTAACTCCAAAATTAACATCAGGCCAATTTATTTATTTATTTAGCTTATGGCACGTGTTAGCCAGGGATCACGAAGAGGCTGCCTACCTCTGTGAAAGGAATCTTTTTGGGCGGTGTTATCCGTGGGATGCCTGAATGCCAGTAGGCAATCGAGGGAGGCTCCTTTCCTGTCCCTATGCGGTTTATTCACTCAAGGGAATCGAACCACCGAGCTGCTGACCTCAGCCAAGTGCAAGCTCAGTGTCTTACCACTTGAGCCACTGCGGCCCCTGTCAGACCAATAATCAAGGAGTAAGCATTACCCCAATCAAGGAACTGCCAAACAAACTAGCAATAAACAGCCCAAACAAACAACCTCCAAGACCATTCCCACCAACACTGACAGGGCAAGCTACTAGTACTAGCATTGATGATGTTACCTAGTTTGGGTAATGAAATGCCTGCAAGAAAACAACCAAGCTCAGAGACTACGAAGGAATCCTCATTTCAATCCTGAGCTACAAATAATATTCTCCTTTATTGGAATCTTTCTTTGTATTTTAACTCACCGATTCTGGTATAGGCAATATAGAATAAATCCATACCATGTTCTATTGAGTTACATTTGAATATTTGAAGACCAACTTCATGTATTTTCTCCAAACATACTTAAATCCTTTATCCGTTCTTATAAGACTTGGTTTTCAGACTTGGTTAGCAACTCGGGAGCCTTAGTAGCCTTCTCTGAACAGGGCAAAGTTCTCCAAATAGGTTTGACTGGCAGAATAGAACAATAACTTTGCATGGTCTGAACTCTATGCTCTTGTTCATGCACCCAAGATAGTATATGCCTTTTCAGCAATTGCATCACACTGTTAGTTTATATTTCTCTACTTTTATTTTCACCCTATTTATTTCAGTTTGCAAAGCTATCTAGCCCTTCTTCAATCGTCTTTCATCTAATGTTATTAAACTTTTCCAGCTTTGTGCAATTTGGTAAGAGTCCCTTGAACTCCCTCATCAAATTCATAGATTAAAAATGTTAAATAGCAGCACCCAAAACAGAATTCTATGGCATTCCATTCAATACTTCCCTAAAGGCTGAACTTGAGACATTGATGAATATTCTTTAAGTACAGTCATTATACAGTGTCCATTAAATAGTAGCACCTCCTAGCCATATTTTACTATTCCATGGAGGAGAATATCACAAGGCAAGTTCTCAAAAGCTTTGCTGAGGTCCAGATACACTATGGCTATAGCATTCCCCTAATGATGTAATTCTATCACGCCATAAGATGAAATTAAGCATAATTCAATTGTGATAGCCATGTGCATCATGAATAACTTCCATGGATAACTGCTATGATTATTTATTTCACTTTATCTCATTACTCATATATGAGCTAAAATATTAAGCACACACACCCATGCATACACTTGGTAGAAATACACTTGAATTAAAGCAGTCAGACGTTATCTAAGCAGCCAGAATAAGGTAATATGATTAGTTTTTTTGCCATAAAAATGAACAAATAGGTTAAAATGAATTTTAAGCATGGACCTGCCAAATTAGGCAGATATAAACATGTCAAATAGGTCCTCTTGAGTTCACTTACATTCAGTATTTCCTCCCATGATGAACAAATTTTTAAGTTTCTTGGGAAGTGATGGGTCCATTTTCACTGCTAGTGCTATATTCGTCAGTGGACCAAGAGCAACCAGAGATACCTAAAGATAAATTTATTTATTGAATATTATTAAAAACACATAACTGTAAGACTATATTAATTTTTCTGTGGTTGATTAGGCCTCACTTCTTCAGATCAAACTGTTGTTATAGAGACAATATGTGATCATATATATATATTGGTCCAGTTGGAAATAGTATAATAAGTGAATCTTGAACTGAAAGTCAAAAAATATTTTGCTGTACTCATAAGGAATGTACTGTAACTCCATTTGGTACAGCCTAGTTCTGTCTTTGTTCAGATGCCTCTGTTTCTTCTTTCTAGGTTCCTTGTGTTAACAGTAGGACTGCAAATTCTAGACAACCACAAGTTGTGAAAACAAAGAGATATATATTAAAAATTGTTACATATATTGGCCATGTAGATTTTTGGAGCCCTATTAACAATGTTGTGCTGGAATTCAGATCCTGGGGAGCATGGAAGATGAAGCAAGACCTTATTTTATTCCAAATTTATGATAAATATTTATGGTACCTTTACCATCTCACCTGACCTGGCCGCTCATTGATTATTCTTAATATTGCAGTCACAGCATTTTCTTTCTGCAGAAGTTCTGTTCCTGGGGCATTAGGATCAGGAACATCGCCCAATCCATCTTTACCATGGAACTCTGCCCCTGTAACAGGTCCACCAAGTAGAGGAGCAGCAGCACCAGGATAAACTGGAATCTATATATAAAAAGATGCCAATATAATATGAATTTTAAAGAACTATTGATTCCCTAAAATTAAATAACAATGTCAAATAATTGAATTGCTCTATGAGACCAGCAATCCACTATTTTTATTTCAAGCATATTTTATCGCATTTAAAAACATTTGTCATATATATATGGCATGTGAGTGCTTTGTCTCTCTGGGCTCCTACACTTCCTCCCCTCTTTTGGATCATCCACTTCTTCTGAAGGGAAAACATCTTCTTTCATTTGGCTGCCATATTCTGTGTGCTGGCGACTGCAGAGGTCCAAAACATACATCTCCTCCATTCTCCTTCCATCATCTCCCAGACCTGGGTCAAGTTGTAGCTTTTTTTTTTTTTTTTTTTTGGGAAACTCTGCCATGCTGTTGCTTGGGAAAAGGTCCAATGGGAGTGAAAGAAAGCAGCACAAGCGCCTGTATTATTGCTAAGTAATAATTGTGTTCTTCCTCAATCTGGAAAACCATATATGGATTGGTATGAAACCAAGCAAATACATACGTTAAAGTTTCCACTTCAGACCAAAACTATAAACACACATAGTATTCCATCATAGCGGTAATAGTTCCTATGCAAACCATGAAGTTGGCTTAACCCCATCCAAGAAATCATATGTATAGTTAAAACAGCCACATCAATATTTTTTTATAAAAGGCAAGCAACAGCTTTTTGAAAATTAGTGGTGCAGTCACGTTTCTCTTATGTGTAAAGTGAATCTTACATTTAAGCAAATAAGCACCAGTCTCACATGCCAAGATCTGACTTTGTGAGTCCCACACACAATACTATGCCAAATGTGTTGGATTGTTCAGTTGGGGGCAATTACCTCAAGCTTATTACAAACTTGCAACACACGGAGCACATTTCTAGATGTATTTTCCAACAGGGTGTTCCCATAAGTGCAAGTAATCCCCAGGACTTCTACACTGGGATTTGCAAGAGCCATCATGATAGCTTGAGCATCATCAACACCACAATCAGCATCAATCAACAGAAGTTTCTTCATATCAGAAATATCTATGGAAAAGAAACATCAATAATTTAAAAAATAACCTATGTATCAGCTGTAACCAATGTTGGAAGGGTACTTTGGATAGATAGGAACCAAATGCTGGATGAACCAGAGCAAGCCCAGCAGAAAATAACTTCTTCGAAGGCTTGCCCATCAATAACTTTTACAAATGATCATGATGAATGTTGGGTTTGATCAGCCATATGATGTATATTCAAGTTTTATTAAAAATATATACACTCTATTTGAACATACTGGCGCATAGAGAATACACCAGTATACTGTGGTAGACTGAAATAAGGATATACTGGAAATCAGATCAAAATATAACTGATGAAAGTAACAAGAACCAATCCCAAACTCTGACTTGAAGCTGCCCAGGAACAGCTAGACCCCTCCTAAATTGTTTCCTTTATTGTTGAATATCGTTTTGTTTTTTTTTTAATTGAAAAGTTTTACAAAAAAAAATACAAAAAATTTCCCCCCCATGTTCCCCCCACCCTTTCCCCCCCCTCATCCCACCCTCCCCCCCAGACTTCCCAGAGCAAAATACAAGGTGTTTCATTTAATCAATCATAAACTAGATTAATCTACTTATCCTCAAAGTACTAACCCCCCCACTGAAATCTTAACTCCACTATAGATAACCTAATACTTCTAATACTAACATTCATTCATAAGCTATTTGATATTTTCTTGTCTGATACTTATTTTGAATATAATCAATCCATCTTCTCCATTCCGATATGTATCTTTCTTGCGTGTGGTCCTTCAAGTACGCTGAGATTTTCGCCATTTCTGCTAGGTTTGTTACTTTCAAATCCACTCTTCAATAGTAGGCAAAGAGTCCTTCTTCCAATATTGAGCTACCAACAGCCTAGCTGCTGATATTAAGTTCAAAATCAATTTAGTCTCTGATACTGTGCAGTCCATAGTTATACCCAATGTTGAATATCGTTTTTAAACAACATTATTTGATATGATTGATGAAAACTGACTGTAAGAGTACAACAAATTAATGTTTGTATTTATACTTCTCCTTCTATGATCGGGGCCTTGATGAGGCAAAGGGGCTTGTGTGAATAAATGAAATCACAGGGTTATGTCGTCGGACATGTATATGTCCAGAAGGGTCTCCCAAAGCAAACAGGCCATGATGGATACCCCCAGACTGATCACATCTGCCAACCTGCATTGGACCAGCATGGCAGATTATGGTCTATTCTTTCCATATGCCAATACAACCCCAAAAACGGCCCTCAGTCCCTAGCTCTCAGGACCGTATTCATTGGAAACATGTCGAAGAGGCCAAAATCCCGCAGTGGATAGACAATAGCTAAAATGAAGACAACAACAACAACAACAACGATGATGATGATGATGATGATTTATACCTATTGGATAGGAAGAGATTACAAGAGAGCACACAAGTACACTATGGGGAATACACATTGAAAGGAATGCTTTGGTACTACCTATTTGTGCTAATGTGCTTCTGGTGAGTTAGAAGACAAAGGGATGCCTTTTGGGTGAAATTCATTGGGATCATGCTAATTTCAGGTAGCAGTCAAGTGGGCCAAGGGTACTAATAACTACATATCAAGGCTACTACCTACCAAGGTACTAATAAGTACTAATAAGGATACTAAATGTGATTTATGATTGTTTCCATAGTAAGGACCTTTGTAGCATCCCCATGATTAGGTGATCAAAATTCAGATGCTTGGCAACTGGTTCATATTTTTGACCGTTGCTGTGTCCAAAGTCATGTGATGACTTTTGTGATCTTTTGACAAGTAAAGTCAATGGGGAAGCCAGATTCACTTAATAACTGGTTTACTAACTTAACTGCAGTGATTCACTTAACAACTGTGATAACAATGATCATAAAATGGGGCAAAATTCACTAAATAAATGTCTCAACAACATAAATTTTGGGCTCAATTGTGACCATAAGTTGAGGACTACCTGTAATCAGGTAATTGCATTCTGAGGCAAAAAAAAGCAGTTTAAGAAGTGATCCATTGAATAAGGTATCTCCCCCTCTGCAAGTGAGGAAATTCTGTAGTTATGTAATCACAGACAGGATAGAAATCCTTTCTGATTCAGGATTATTTTGACATGCTTTTAGGAGCTTTTCTGGAACATCCCAGTTTATGCCCCAAAGACATTCTGTGAAGATGGTATCCTCCAGTGTGTTTCTTTCTCTCAATATCTTTTTTATAACATGGCAACCGAAACTGAATGCAATACACTTGGAATACTGCATCCAGTTTTGGTTGCCACAATAACAGATATTGATAACAGATATTGACAACAACAAAGATAATTACGGGGATGTGAAGAATAGTTGCAGGAATTGGATATGTCTAGTTTAATGAAAAGAAGTCTAGGGGTGACATGATAGCAGTGTTCCAATATTTGAGAGGCTCCTACAAAGAAAACAGGGTCAACCTCTTCTCCAAAGCATCCAAAGGCAGGACAAGAAGCAATGGATGGAAACAAAATCAAGGAGAGAACCAACCTAGAACTAAGGAGAAATTTCCTGACAATTAGAACAATTAATCAGTGGAACGACTTTTTTTTTTTTTTTTAATTTTGATTTATATGTCGCCCTTCTCCGGAGACTCAGGGCGGCTTACAATGCGCTAAGCAATAGCCTTCATTCTTTTGTATATTTATACAAAGTCAGCTTATTGTCCCCACAACTGGGTCCTCAATTTACCTACCTTAGAAAGGATGGAAGGCTGAGTCAACCTTGAGCCTTGGTGAGATTCGAACCTGCAGTAATTGCAGGCAGCTGGTCTTAATAACCAGCTTAATAACAGGGTGCCTTAGACCACTGTACTACCAAGGCTCTTTTGAGATTTGCCTTGCCTCCAGAATTTATGGGTGCTCCAACACTGCAGGTTTTGGACAACCATTTGCCTGAAATAGAATAGGGTTTTCTGCCTGAGCAGGGATTTGGACTAGAAGACTTCTAAAGTCCCTTTCAACTCTGTTTTTGTGTTATTCTTTTAGCCTCCTTTCCAGCATTGTTTGGCTTTTCTGGCCATGGAGTTGCCCTATGTCAAGCTTCGTTGTTATCTCCAAATAAATGAATTTCCAAACGTCCGATCTTTGAGGAAATTTTTCTCTTTATTGGACATAACGAACTGACCCTGACTCAAAGCATAGTTAGCACTGAACTTTGGCCCCCCCAAAACCTCCCTTTCCGGTTCCCAATTTTCTGCGTCTCATTGGCCATCTTCCAAGCCACTCTACTCATCCCATCTCTGTCATTTCACAGGAATGCCCCCCTCCCATCTCTATCTCCGTGGAGACAGTTCTTCAGGGGAAAAAGTAGTGAAAGTTCAAGCCTCTCCTCCCTTCCTTATGGCAGCTTGGAAGCTGACACCCTACTTCCCCCTATGAGACATGGGTTTTTAAACCACTCCTCTGAAGAGTTTCTACTTTGACCCAGGTGAGTCTGGATCTTTCTGTCTTCCCACATACATGTTCTTAATCACTACATATGTGCTTATGAAGACAATGCCTCTGTGTCTGGAATTCATTATCAAGATAGCTGGAGTGAATAAAGAGAGTGAAGGAAAGAAGGTGGAATGGTTACTGGTATAATGCAAGATGGAAAATATTAGCAAATTATACTTGTAATTTTAAAGGAAACAGTTAATGTCCTCATCGAATTTTATAAGCTAACATTTGAAGTAAATCCAGATTTGAAACAGGTACTAAAATCCAAGATGCTTTCTCAGTCAATCATTTCCTGCACTGCTCCCCTAACTCCTATCAATTCTCTCTCTCTCTCTTTTTGATCTTCTGTATTTTAAGTTCCAGATATATAATTATTATGTCTGATGGGGCAAAAACTAATCTCTAGTAACAGCATATTTCCAATATTACCTGGCTTCAGGGGTGAAATCCAGCAGGTTCTGACAGGTTCTGGACAACTAGTAGTGGAAATTTTGAGCAGTTCAGAGAATCGGCAAATACCACCTCTGGCTGGCCCCAGTGTGGGGTGGGAATGGAGATTTTGCAGTATCCTTCCCCTGCCACACCCACCAAGCTACACCATGCGCAAGCCATGCCCACAGAACCAGTAGTAAAAATATTTGGATTTCACCACTGCCTGGCTTCCCTTCATAGTGAGGATGATTCTGGAGAGGAAGCACCTAACTCAGTGTCCTGCATCTTCCTTAGCAGGACAGCTGTCTGCCAGGCCAGGGGGCTCCCTTGGGTGGTTGCTTGGCCACCATAAAAAAAGGCTATTGAACTAAATAGCTAGAATCCAATCCACCAGGACATTGCTTATAATTTTATGGGAGATATTTGCACTTTATGACAGCTACCTAGGAAAATGCACTTGTCTGAGTTGTATTAAGAACTGGTAACAGAAGTGCTTCCTGAACTTCTACTTGCGGTGTAGTTGTTATTCTTGATATCAGAAGATAAGCAAAACAGAGTTTTAAATGCCTCAGGTCATTTTAGGAAACCTTTTGAATTTGGTCCAGTTTATAAACTTATTATACAAAGCAGTGAGGAGTCTGAGGGAAAGGAATGAGCAAGTTAAACTTGGAGCAGCTAGACTATTTAAGCGTATTTTGCCTAAAATCCAAGACGAGGAATTTGCTTCCTTAAAAAGAAACAAAGATACCACATCAATTCGCTTTTATCATTAACAGCCGCTATTAGGGACAGACGAAACTAGTCTAAAAAGCGGGATAAAAAGGCGCCAATGAAAAACCAGCCAAGTGGACGAGCGAACCTGACGAAGCGACGTCAGCAAAGACCGAGCTCGAATCTTAAGCTTTCCGGCGGGCGGGGCTGAAGAGAGAAGGAACGCCCAGAATCGGCCAATCGGAAGCTGCCCAACTGAATTCTTTTGGAGTAAATTCGGGTCGTTGTTATGGCAACCGCCTTCCGATCGTTGCACGCCTGGACCCACGTCGAGAGACAGTCTGGTAGGGATGCCTTAATCGAGAACTGGATGCCAGCAAGAAGAGATGCTCGCTGGGCCTCGAGGCGGCTGAGCTACGAGCCCTTGGAAGCTCGACCTGCAAATACGCACGAAGATATTTTTAGCCATGAAAATCCTCCCGGCAGTTGCCTTGCTGCCTGCGGTGTAGCGCCAAGGTGCAATTTCTTCAAGGATAATCGGCTCAGCATCGAAGCATTTAACACCTTCGCTGTGGCTTCTTTCGGGAAATAACGGACCAAGAACCGCTTCTCCAAGAAGAGGCGCCTATGGCTGACTTGTTATCCTTAGTGTGGGTTTGTAAAAAGAGCGGGCTGAAGGTGGAAGAGCTTTTATTGAAACCGGATATGTTACTAATCTTCTGACACAAAATCAGACCATCCATGCATACATTCAGATTTATTTATTAGTTCAATTTATATGCCGCCCTTCTCCGAAGACTCAGGGCGGCTTACAATGCACTTATAGCAATAGCCTTCATTCTTTTGTATATACCTGCTTATTAGGGCTTTTGGCCCCCCCATAAGCGGTGTTTCTACAAAGTCAGCTTATTGCCCCCACAATCTGGGTCCTCAATTTACCTACCTCAGAAGGATGGAAGGCTGAGTCAAGGCCTTGAGCCTGGTGAGATTTGAACTCGCACTAATTGCAGGCAGCTGGCAACTAAGTGCTACATAACAGCACTTAATCTGCTGCACCACCAAGGCCCTTTCCAGATATTTCCAGTGGTCCTCAGATTCGAGTGTTATACCATCCGCAGCTCCTGTCCTGCCGGTGTGAGGCTAAAGAGATAGTTCATGAGGTATGGCACTATGCTATAAAGGCTTCCAGTTAGAAATTGCCACATCTTTCTTAAGTCATCAGTCTGGCAGCACCGTTTCAAGCTAAAAAAAAGTTATTAAGGGACAGAAGCTTTCATATATATTTTTTTTTATTTGATTTATATGCCGCCCTTCTCCGGAGACTCAGGGCGGCTTACAATGCGTTAAGCAATAGCCTTCATACTTTTGTATATTTATACAAAGTCAGCTTATTGCCCCCACAAACTGGGTCCTCATTTAACCTACCTTAGAAAGGATGGAAGCCTGAGTCAACCTTGAGCCTGGTAAGATTCGAACCTGCAGAAATTGCAGGCAGCTGTGTTAATAACAGGGTGCATTAAACCACTGTACTACCAAGGCTCTTCATAATATGTAGTTCACCTATCAGATGCCTGGAGTGGGTCAGTTGGTGTAGAACATGAAAAGGATGGATAGGCCACTGCATGTGACTTGTGAGACAGATTTGGAGAACTTCATCAATTAGCAATTGTAACGTATCAAACACCTATTTGTTGGCATCTTCTAAGATAGCTTGAAAACTTTTTTGAGATGTCAAGTTTGGTGGATTCACTCTATGATGCTGGCACCTTTTTGTCGTAAAAAGACAACTATGAAATCTGTAATGAAATGTCCTGGGAGATTAAAGTGCTCTGCTGTTCTTTGCATTGTGCTGAGAACTGATGTCAAACTTGTGTCTGTTGATTATTTTGCAAAACATTTGACCTTCTCCAAAGTAGAATGCAGAGCAACAATGCTGGCAGATAACAGCAGTGGAAGAGGAGCATGAGAAGGGGACTTATTCTAATTTTCTGTGAGAAATTGTGGGGGCCTGTGATGTGGCTGTTAGCTACCTTGCCCCCTTCCCTGTATATATACTATCTGGGTTTATTGAAAGGTCTGGTTCTCATGTTAATCTCATGGTTCTTGTCGCTTGTGATAATCTGTCTCACAGAGGTTGTATGCAAATATGGCATTGTGTGTGTAAGAATGCCATCCGGGAATTGAGAAGAGGCACCGTCCTTGTCATTATGGTTGTGGCTTGGGTGGCGAGAGCTGCAGGTGACAACGAGTGAAGTTCTGTTTCTGTAGTCTGCTTCTAGGAATTGATCTGGCTCTTTTGTCTATTGGTTGAGTGGATAGTTCAGACTCCTGAATGCCTGGCTTAATTCTGTGAGTTAAGCATATCTGTCACAGAACAAATTCAGTTGTGATGTGGAGTTTGGCAAAAGGTAGGCTTGGAGAGTTTAAAAGAGCTTTTAACACTACAATTGCTTATTGATGAAGTAATAATCTGTTTCACATGTAACATAACCACCCTTTCTTCCCTCAGTTGTACTTCTGTTTTTAAATTTTACTCCAATTTAATTATTCCGTGCATCTGATGAAGTAAGCTACAGCTCATAAAACTGTATATCTTTCAATTTGTTAATTAGGAAAGTTGCTATTGGATTCCTTCCGATATTGGCTGCGCTAGATTAACCTGGCCCTCTTAGCATCTAGAAAATGAGATACTCATTTCAGAATCCAGGAATACTGTACAAGTCTCATCAGGTGATCAACACCTGATGAGTGAAAGAATAAAGCAGTAAAATTGTATGTCAGAGTGTCTTTGTATGTTAAGCAATTGTATATGTAAATTTTGTTTTGACTTTATATTTTATATGCAGATCAATTCTAATACTTGTAAGGTAATTACAAGTTAAAGAAAGCTTCAGGAAGAATGGTCCTTCATATGATAAGCACTAGTTTAATAATGCTTTTCTTACCAATTCTTAGGGTGGTGCTTTTCAGCCTTCCATGCAGTTATATTTTACCAGGCACACTATCAAAGAACCTGGATCCCACCATAATATACATAAATGCCACTTTTTCTGAAGTCACTCTAATAGTCAAGTTTCATCCTAATTTGCTGACATTTTCATTATCAGGTGCGGATTTTTAAAAATAATGAAATGCCTTCAGGGCCATTTTATCATCCTAATCCTTTTTTCTCCATTTCTTGCTCCAAACTAAGAGAATACAAATAAACTGTGCAGAATAAGGCACAGCTATAAAATACTAATGGGTCCTTATGATTATGAGCATCTTAATCCTGACTAGGTGGTTCAGTGGCTATGACATGGAGCTTGTCGATCAGAAAGGTCGGCAGTTCGGAGATTCGAATCCCTAGTACAGGTCTCCTGCATGAGGAGGGGGTTGGACTAGATGACCTCCAAGGTCCCTTTCAACTCTGTTACTGTTAATCTTTTTTTTTTAAAAAAAAACCCAAACAATCAGACATGATCAAATGATTTGTGAAGAAAGAGCAATAGAATATTGGCTTTGTGCAGTTGTGTTGTCTGTTTCTCCTGTCCCGAGTTCCACATACTGCAATGGGAATGTCAAGGCAGCCCCCTAAATCCAGCAACATCCAAGAAGGCTAAAGGGTAACTTTACAAGGCCAACAATTTCAGGGTACATTATCGTAGAAGCTATGTGGGCTGAACTTCAAGTCTCAATAGATTTAGCCAACAGCTAATAATAAAAGTGCTGAAGTTTGTGATTTAACAATATATAAGGATGATAGAGTTTTTGCTACAATCAACATTCTGTGAAAGTTAGGTCAACAGGATTTTTTCCCGATGATCCACCATGTTTTTTATTCGTTCTGTTGAGCTCGTTTCACTCGTAGCTGGTCATTATATCTTTTCATAAATTGTTGCAATTACAAATGCTGTTGTACCCTTCTGTTTCTGTTATAAAATTCTGTTTCTTTTTGGAACATTCCTCCCCCACCCACCCCCAAGATTTAGATTGATTTTGATTCTGGATCCTAACCCTGCTGGCATTTCATACTTTGAACATGGAAGTTGAACTGCATCTTGGAGTCCATGTAGTTATCAATTTGTGGCAAACAGGCTTTACCGCGATTGCCATTGCATGTAGTTTGATTTTATATTATTTTGGTTTTGGTTTTAAATCTTGTTAGCTGCTGAGTCACTGTGGTGAGATGAGTGACCATATAAATCCAGTAAGTCAATAAATTGTAGTTTGTCGGTCACCAGGACAGAGATTTAGCCTTCTGAGCTTTTGGACTCATACTGGAGCCCATCCTCATAAAAGTTTGGAACACTAAAACTCTGGTCCTGGTGACTGACCCAGATTGGATCCTGCAACATTATCCTGGGACATGTATATTAGCCTTCATTCGTGAAAAATATTTTTATCCTTACCTGCTCAGCTCTCAAGTTCTCTCAGTCTGAATGCTTCTTACTTTTCAATGCTGTGGAACTTGACCGGATCTTGTTAATATTTAACCAGTGTATTGTTAGAATTTTAACGATGTGTTAACATTTAACACATATAACAGCAATTTAAATCAATATTCTTAGAGCCAAAATTATGTGGGAGATAATGGAATTGAATTTCCTAGCTTTATATTTCACTGAAATGCAATAAAAACCATCACTTAGGGATTTGAACTGCTGAACTGCTAACCTTTAGATTGACAAGCTCAGCATCTTAGCCACTAAGCCACCGTGTCCCTTACATAAAGTATTAGTACCACTTTATAAAGCTCTAGTAAGATCATACCTGGAATACTGCAACCAATTTTGGTCACATTACAAAAAAGATATTGAGATTTTGGAAAGAGTTCAGAGAAGAGCAACTAAGATGATCAAAGGCCTGGAGACTAAAACATATGAAGAAAAGCTGCAGGATTTGGGTTTGGCTAGTCTAGAGAAAAGAAGAATTGGGGTGACATGATAGCAGTATTTCAATATTTGAGGGGTTGCCACAAAGAAGAGGGGGGTCAAATTATTCTCCAAAGCCCTAAAGGTAGTACAAGAAATAATGGTTGGAAACTAATCAAAGAGAGAAGCAACCTGAAATTAAAGAGAAACTTCCTAACAGTAAGGACCATTAACCAGTGCAACAGCTTGCCTTCACAAATCGTGGGCACTTAAATCATTTGTGGTTTTTAAGAAGAGACTGGATAGTCACTTATCTGAAATGGTATAGGTTCTCCTGTTTGAGCAGAGGACTGGACTAGAAGACTTCCAAGGTCCCTTCCAGCTCTATTCTATTCTAAGCTAAATTCTAAACATTTTCATGATTCTCATTTTCACAACTAAAACAGACTGTATGAGACTTACATTTTGTCCTAAATAAGATTAAAGGAATTAACCTCTAAAACAGAAGTGTCAACTCGATTTCATTGAGGGCTGCATCAGGGTTGTTTGACCTCGGTGGGCTGGGTTGTGTGTGGCTGGGTTGGGCGTGGTCAGCTTGATGTCATTCATGTCAGGGGCACCTTTGGTGGCCTGGGTGGGGCTCGGGTGATCCACTTTCTCCGGTGGAGGAATTTCTTGATGCCTCCTTGCCTTGTGATCAAATGCCACTTTTGCTAGTAGATTGTTTTGCTAGCCCTCTGCCAGCGAAAATGGACCTTGGGACTGGCACGTGTGACCCCCGCCCCCCAGGCTCCGTTTTCAGTTGCGACGGCCTGCTGCAGCCCTCTGCCAGTGAAAATGGAGTGTGCACCCCCTCCCCCAAGCTCCATTTTCACTGGCAGAGGGCTGCAGGAGGCTGTCACAGCTGAAAACAGACCCCGGGAGGGCTGCGCATGGCCCTCCCAAGCTGTTTTCGCTGGCAGAGGCACCGCGTGCCAGTCCTTCACTGTTTCCAGAGTGACCCTGCAGGCCAGATCTAAGCACCCTGTGGGTAAAATCTGGGCCATGGGCCTTGAGTTTGACACCCTGCTCTAGAATATCAAAGTAGGTGGATATCTTTGCAGAAGGCTTAGTTTTAAAACCTGGACAACCCTAGGGAAGAAAAGCCCTTTCTCCCAATTACTTGAATATGTCATGCTATTCTTGGAAGTGAGCAAATTAATAAAAGTATGGTGATTGAATAATGATTTCTTTGTTCATAGTCTTGCAGTTTTTCTTTTGTGTTCCCTTTATTATAAAAAGGTAAAGGTTCCCCTCGCACATATGTGCTAGATGTTCCTGACTCTAGGGGGCAGTGTTCATCTCCATTTCAAAGCCAAAGAGACAGCACTGTCTGAAGACGTTTCCGTGGTCATGTGGCCGGCATGATTCAACACCAAAGGTGCACGGAATGCTGTTACCTTCCCACCAAAGGTGGCACCCTATTTTTCTACTTGCATTTTTTACGTGCTTTCAAACTGCTAGGTTGGCAAAAGTTCTCCCAATTACTTCGTTGAATATATCATGCTATCCTTAGAAGTGAGCAAATTAATAAAATATGGTGATTGAATGATGATTTCTTTGTTCATAGTCAGGCAGTTTTCCTTTTGTGTTCCCTATATTGAAGATTAGATTATGATCTTGAGAAAGGATTATCACTTTGTTCCCTAAACCATTGACAGCTGTACATAAGTAAATAATAAAATATTGTAAGAGGAAGAAGAGGTGTGAACATGATTTTTGCCTATCTTTGGCTCTCCTTGAATAGCAAGCCATCAAATGATACTATAAAGCATGGTATTATAAAGCATGCTGAAAGTCCCTCAAACACAATTTATCACTTTTCATGGGGTTAGGTGGAATAGAATAAAATAGGCGTGTTTTCAAATCCACATTTCAAACTCCTGTTATAAAGTTGTCATCTTCCATCATTTTTTTGTTGTTGTTGAAAATCATGGTGAACTCTTTTCCTCTGTCATCACAACCACCTTAGGAAGTAGATTCGATTAAGAAAGAACAATTATTCTTTCGGTTAAGAAGTCACTCAGTGGGTTTTCATGGTTGTGGACAGATGAGAATCTGGTTTTGCCCTAGTACAAGTTTGACGATACATAATACGGCTATCCCAGGCTTACAACCAGTTCTTGATTCTACAGAGTTTAATTCTTGTATTTGAAGTCTATTTCTGCAGTTAAATACTGGAATGTTAGTGATATTACATCTTTTGAAGATTGCCATTAGCTTTATATTGATCTTATTTTCTGCTATTGGATTCAATGATACATTTAGTGTTTGATTTTATTTTGATTTATTTTTTATTGGAAACTACCAATTTAGTATAAATAACACAATTAAATCCATTAGTTGTTTATTTTCATTGTAAAGTACCCAATGATTTGATCTAAACTATAAAAAACTTTTTGCTTATTGATAAGGGCATAGAAGTATCACTATATTGGGTCATCAGTTTTTTAGAAAATAAAATATTAAAAACATAAATACACTTTTAGAAAGAAATAAACATTTTCCAAGACCTAGAGAAGGATATTCTGGCATAATCTTTCAGAGACTATACAGCAGTCAGTCTATAAATGTTTATGCCAGAATAAATTTTACTTTCTTTTTCTAAAATAGATCAGAGCTACCACCATGATAATTTATTGGCATGAAAACTTTAGAAAGTACAAACAAATATAGGGCTTAAACCTGTACTCATATTGTGGTGGGTTTTTTTTAAAAAAAAGTCATCTCAACATGCTTGTCAGTTCTTTATTTTTTTTTAAAATTCCTAAAGACTAGCACATTTACAGCATACATGGACTGGGTGAATTAAGACTATACAAAACAGTAACCATATGTTTATGGTACGCCAATACTGTTCCAAACAAATAAATAAAATAAAATCAATGCAAAAAGTTTTAGGAAATACAACTGTGCTCGGACAAAACTATGTTCTATTTTACAACAGCTATACATATTGTATATAAATGAAAAACTCAAAGGCAGCAGTGCTGTGGCTGCTTTTACAGACATGTACAGAATAAGCTTGGCAGTAACTGTATATCCTTTTAAAGTTTCATCTAAGAATTGTACTCAAAAAGGTTAGCATGAGGTTCATACAATAGTTCCTAATAATGAATTTTCTATGGCAACAAAACAAATATTTTAGAAAAGTCTGTTCATTTGATGTTTTCTATATGGATATATGCTTTCTTTAGTTCCTATGTTTTTATTGAGCTATATTTATTTTCCTTTAGGGAAATCTATGCAAAAGAAATGAAATCAGAATTTTGCATTTGTTTGTCACATGTGATGCAGCATTGTACACTGGAGTCCTGTTCTCAGAAAGGGTAGAAGAGAAATAATTATTCATTCAGAGAATTTGGGAATTGCTTTAAAAAGTAGTACATTAGCTTTTCACAGCTGTTAAGTCGGTATAGTACTGTCAATCAGAATGTAAAATAAAGATCTAACCTAACTCAGAATGGGAGTAGCGAAATATCTTCCATGGCATACATTTTGCAGTGCTGACAGGTCTGATTTAAAGTTCTCTTTTCTGAAAAACCTATAGATTCCTAATGCATATGAGCTTTATGTTTACACAATGGAAATATGTTCACACTAATGGAAATAACAGCGGAACAGAATTTCCTTTTCCCATTACAAAATGGGTGGGGATCCTAATTGCTTCTAGGAGAAGACTAATGAAGGAGAATAATACACTGTGCTGGTAGCAATCACGGAATTTATCTTAACTACTGTATTTTTTGGAGTATAAGACGCACCAGAGTAGTTTTTGGGGAGGAAAATAGGGAAGGAAAAATCTGCCTGCCAGGTATTCATCTGGCTAGCGTCCTTAGTCTAGTCAGCTTTAGCACATTAGTTTGCTGGTTTTGAGCGCCCACGTGCTTTTTATCCACTACTTGGGGATAAAAAACAGCTTCTAAAGCACAGCTGATCTTTGGAGAGAGAAGCAATGAGAAAAGCAGGCAAAAATTGCTTCACTCGCTAGCGCCTCATTAGGGCTGAAAAAAAAGCTTCTAAAGCAAGCTAAGAGTCGGAGGGAGCAGGCAAAAGCTACGTTTGGAGTATAAGACGCACCCAAGTTTTCAGCCTCTTGGGGGGGGGGAGTGCATCTTATACTCTGAAAAATATGGTACTTTTGCTGGCAACAAGTTTTAATGTCAGAAAATTTAAGTTAAAACAATAGTTTCAGATCTAATAGTCTTTCTTGCCAAGGCAGTCTTTAAAAAGTGAATTATATTAAGCATTTAAATATAAATACATTTTGCACACAGAGGGGTGGGGAGAGGATGAACAGAGAAGAAACATTAAACAAACTAGCATAAATCAAAAGGAGTTTCTCTGTCACATTTGAAATTTTCCTGAAAATATAAACTTAACCACCAATTTTACAGAATTCCGCCATTCAATATATTATGCAAACACAGGAAGGAAAGCCAAAGATGTTCTTAGCTGCAGAAGGATACCTTTAGGTACTTGCAGACTGGAAACAGTTCAGCATTGTTCACTGCCAGGAGACCTCAGGAAGGGAATATTTTCTATGCAAGGTGCCGCCCAAATACAGTTTGGAGGGGAACAACTTTTCATGGCAGCCTGATTTGTATTTTGTTTTAAATTGTTTTGCAGCTAACTTTGTTGATCAAGGGAAGCTTACTTGCAAATCTCAACTCTTGTTGACTTCACTGCTTTGCCCTGTTAATCTTAGCTACTACCAGGAATTCCATGAGCAACAGATATGATTATTCCTTTGCCTGTTCGGTTTAAGACTTGAAAGCACTGTTTCCCAAATCTGGTAACTTGAAGATGTGTGGATTTCAACTCCCAGAATTCCCCAGCCAGCATGTTGCCTGGGGAATTCTGGGAACTGAAGTCTGCACATCTCCAAGTTACCAAGTTTGCGAAACAATGCATGATTAATTAATTTATTGCATTCTGAGGGATCCAGACTGTTTAGTACATATAAGAATTAAACCATTAAGCTACTAAAAGGCAATGTTAAAACAAATTTCTTGGGTCTGAAAAAAACATTCATACCTTCAATAAATATAAAGTGCAAAAAAAGGCAGAATAAAGTAAAATATTTGAATACCAGACTCTTTCTTGAAAATTGTGCCATTTTCCTCTTTTCATTAAATGGCCAATAATGCTAATGTAAGTAAATCCCTCAAGTATCAATGGAATTTAAACATGTTGGGGTTAAATTGTTAGAATGAAAAGTTGGAAGGATTTCGCAACCTGCCTACAGCTTCCAAAATCCATCCAAACACTACTACTGATCCGTAGCATTTCAGATGATAAACATTCACATCCATAAAAACATATACAGTGACCTATTAATCAAAGTTGTTATATATTAATAGTCATTTAATGAATATGCTACTCTTCTGTAAGTATGTACTGGTACCACTATATTTTTCAAGTGGTGGTTCATCTTGCTTTTAAAGTATGAATTTGTTACAGGAATAATGAACAAAGGAATAAGTTATAGTTTAGCAACACCAAGAGTGTTCATGGAAATTTGGGTTCTGTTACAGATCAATTCCTAAGTAAACAATAACTCTTATTAAATAATGTAGGAAATTATTCCCCTTCTCTGTCAATTCATTAACCTGAAATTCAAACTCTGATGTTCTGGAACAAATTGTAGATTACTGAGTTTCAAAAATTAGTAATGGGTACTGGATATATAAAACAATATTCAAAGTAGGAGTTTCAACAGGAAAATGAGGAACACTGATTTATGTAAACTAAAGTGCACCTACATTGTGGATAGGATCTAACAAGCAAGCATCTTAGGAATTTGCAATATTCTTAAATGCAGCATAGGACAGTTTTTGTATGCAAATATGTTTGCCTAAAATCATTCTTGTCATTAAAAAAAAGGAACTCGGAAGATCTGACCTGTACATGCTAGTTTACACTATGTATCACTGTGGAATCAGCTAACTCACAAGCAAACAAAGTAGGGTAAAGTGACAATAATTAAAATTATTATGATGTGGAAGACACAGACGATTCAGCCCAATGAAGTCCTTCAAACTGCAGGTAGAAATCCACTTCTGTTTTGTAACTAGATATGGATACCATACCTTTTGTTTGGATTCATTGTTTAGGGCTAAGTCATGCTTTACTAGATGTAGACAGTATTTTCTTATGAGCAACTATCATTTTTTTGTATTTTAAAAGGATTTTTAGGTGTTGGAATGCAATAGGTTTCTTCCTTAAGTGAAATTATCACCTTTCAATCCAGTTTCTAAACAAAATCAAATAGGGTTATGTGTCAGTTCCTGTCTTCTATATAACTCTTTTATATAATAGTGTTTTAATAAATTTAAATTCCCAACTTTATATTTTAATGCACTGCTCGGTTTTTTAAACTGAGCCTTTTCTTCTACTTGTAATACCTGTTGTACTTGTCACAACTCCTCATTTCCAATTTATTTACTATTTACAGCACTGAGGTTTTAAAAAGTATTATGAAAGTTTTAAATAAAATCAGTATAAAAATGAGGGAAACAGCTGCCTAATTCATAAAATCCTCCACAGTCCAGGAATTATCTTTCTTTAGGCAAAGAGATTAATTAACTAATGTATGCAGGCATCTTATACTGGGCAATCATTACATTAGTTTCATGTTATAATTATTTAGCATGTAATTGTTTTCTTTCTATGGAATCCAGTTTAACAAAATTACATGCTCAGTATTTCTTAGTGAAACATACAAAAACATTTTTTCTGACATTGTCATCAAAGTTCTTATACTAAAGTTGAGTGTATTCACATATTTTAACGGAACAACTAATTAATTACAAGACACCGTAATCCTATGAGTCAACTTTTCCATAAGTTCCTTCAGGAGGCCTGTAATACTTGGGGAAAGCCTTCAGCTGCAAGGAATTAAATGCATATTTGCGACATCCAACATTCTTCATTGTATTTTCTCTTCGACAGCCCTCGCTGGGGAAAAAGACAAGCACAGAAAAGGAAAAAAAAATGACAGCAGTAAAACAAAAACAAAATTACCACTATTTTAATTAAAATGAAAGGAGTTAGCTATTTCATTTCAGTAAAATATTTGAATTCATAATTAAATAATGGGCCACTGAAGGTGTACATAAATGCCACATGGACTCTTAACAGCTACACTTGCAAATCTAAGCAAGCAAAAATGCATTTTTATTTTATTTTTTTGAGGAAAAGAGGGTATAGAGTAGGCAAGTCTGCCAGCTCCTCTGAATCACAGGGAACATATTGGCAGTAATAACATCACTTCCGGAAGATTTTGGCACAGGAGAAGAAATGTTACCGCAGGAGTTTTATCGCAGCATTTTCAATTTGGCTCTGAAATCTATTGCACACTTTCATTCAGCAAGACTGAACTCTATTGCGAAAGCCATTATTATTAGATATACATACATATACATAATTACATAAGTAATTTGAATTCTCAAAATATACTTTCCAAGTTTCCTTCTTTGGTTTTTCTAAACAGGAGATGACAAAGGAAAATGAAAGCTACAGAAGCAGAAGACAAAAGTATACAAACATGACTGAGATATTATTTATTTGTACGTTGACAACTAAGGACAGCAACATTGAACATGCTCTGAGCATTAACTACAACAGTTTTGTTTCCAATATGCACTGGGATATCAATTTATAATAACTTAGTCCAATTATCAGTACAATGAAAATTCTAGTCAAATAAGTTTTTAAAATATTGTATTGATTTCCTGGGTTTGCTGATATTTATTATACAAATATAAATAAAAGATTTTAATTTGCATTATCTTGTATGGATCACACTTACATTCTTACATTACTAGGTCTAACTGATTTCACTATGTTTTAAATGTATGGGTTAAATAGTTGATTATTTGGTATACTTATTGTATGTAGTGACAACTATTTATATATTTGGTTTCAGCATCATTTCTACCACCGGGCATGTTTTAAACAAAAGTCTCCAGACTTATGAGAGGAAATGCATGAAATAAAGATTCATGTATTTCTTGATTTAATAACTTGTGATGTGTTTGCATGTATATATACATACGTACACACCCCTATAAATAAAATCACATACAATTTTAAGTCTAAAGCACTCTAGTATATTTAATGCCACAATATAAGGCAGGACAGCTGAGTTTTTCAAACCATTGAATACATTTGTATTCAAATGTATTGAAATAATTTATGCACCTCAATAAGAACTACAATCCATACATAGAAAATTCTTACTTGGATGTTTTCCTCAGGCTATTTGTCAACCCAACATTACTTCGTCAAACCCAAGACTGCATTTATGTACTGAATTCTATTGTCTTGGGAAAATAGGTGTGATTGAGAAATTAAGGGCTACTTATTTTCATTTGCGAGGCCACATAGATGCATGCAGTGATCAAAGCCTACATTTGGAATAAGTGATCTTGTTGGATAAGCAAAGGAAATGGTGGTATGGAAAAGATTGTGATGTGAATATGCCATAGAGTATGCTTAGATTTGGCATAAAATGATCAATATATTGCTAATAAATTTGTCAAAGGACTTGTTAGTTACCAAGATGTAACTACTGTGGTTTAATTTAAAAAATAAAATAAAATTGTGGTTCGATTTACAAATTGAACATTATTGTGTGACATCTACAGGAAGTGTCTCATACTTTCATTATCTACCCTGCTGCTGGCAAGTTAAACAAACATGTAGTATAATTGAGCCCTATACCTTTCACTGCAACAGAATCATATACCTACCAGGAAAGCAGCTACTGTGCTACTTTGTCAAGATCCAAATCAATCCGTTCAAGAACATATCTACGTCTTATCTTTGCAATACAATTGATGTGATGCAACAGATCAGATAAACAGGATGTAGCACAACCAAATATTAAAGAATTTTATTTATAAGCCTTGGAGCTGCTTTTTTAATACCCAATAGTTACATCTATCTATCTATCTATTTATCTACCTACCTATCTGTCTACCTGTCTACCTGTCTATCTATCTATCTATAGATGTTCCTAAAACATACACTGATCTTATTTATAAATGCTATCAGGATGGGAATATATACATCTATGTTTTGGATGAATAAATATTATAATGATAGAAATTAAGATAATTCTATTACAAATTGAATGATTAGGATTCAGGATATCACTAAAATGCATTTGCATCTTTTACATACCTTAAGATTTAAAGTTTAATATTAACCCAAAAGAGCTATTAGTGCATTTTATGGCAATATTTAATGTAAATATTAATTAACATGTGATAGCATTGTATCACACAGATTATAAAAATACTTTTCCAATGATTTGAATGGAATTAGATGATCATTAAGTTTACTCTTTCCATATATTCTTTCTTTTTTTGATGCAGTAAGAAAGTAAATATATAAATATACTGACTATATATTGTGTGCAGCATACTGCTTTCAAGTTCATTTTAAAGGGCATAATGTGTTGCAACAGATCTATGAGAAAATTAACTCCACGGTTTTAAGTATTGATGATTGTAACACTGTAGAAGTGATGCTTGTAAATCAAAGTAGAAAGATGCCTTAGACAGATGTGTAGATAAATATGTTACAAAGCCCCCCCCTTTCCCCCTTACCACTTAAATATGAAATGCAAGACTGACACTTTTTTAGGATATACAAAAACATTAGAAATTTTTTTAGACATAGTTTCTTTCTCGGGATAACAAGAAACATGTGAAACAAAGCTGTATGTAGTTATAAAGAAATGGAGGGGAGGTGGATTTGAATGCCTAAAATAGATGATACAGAAACTAATCTTCAGGTTGATTAAATCACTGAGGTAACAGGCAGCTGTTGGACTTACATTACAAGGACTGGAAGCTCAATGACAGTGTAAGCACTCAATACAATTCCTTTTCATAAAAGAATCAGATGTGTATTTTACAAGTTTAGTACAATAGAAACAAAATTGTAAGGCATACTAATCATTATTCTTGGCAACAATGCTATGAGACGTTTTTTGACAAATCGGTACCAGGTGGCAATATATATTCTGGCACTTTACTGGATTTTTGCTTGTTTGTTTTATTTCATTTGCAACGTAATTTAGCCACCAAGTATGCAATGCTCAGAAACAGCCACACAATCAGTAAATTGGGGCTTAGAGCTAATAAAGGAATAGAGTAAAGAAGACTGGGATCTAGCCTGAAATCCCGGAGGGGCACCAGGCCACACAAGTTCTTCTGGATGACTACCTCCCGTGTTCCAATACTGTGAAAAGGAAGAGATTTGGGAAGAAAAGAAAAGAAACAGAAAAAAAAAAAAACCACAGACATGCAATGTATGTATCAAAAGATAAAAAGAGAATCAAGATGGCAAAATAAAAGAGAAAAAAATTGGTTCAGGAACAGGAAAGAAAATAAACTTTGAAAAATTCACAACAGAAAGTAGAATGTGTGAGGATAAAGAATAAGGAAATATGCCAATTTTTCAAAATAATAATAAAAGGCGCAATTACAGAATAAAGGAGAGAGAAAGAGAATAAAAAAGAGAAAATAAGAAAGAATACTGTAGTCTACTGAAAATAAATACATGTATGTCAAACTAGAATGGTTTTCCATGTTCATTTTTCTCATTTGGCTAAGCGATGTTCCATGCGCCTGTGCCATGCTTTCCACATGCTGCAAAGAAAGGGAACTCTGAAAAGCAAACTGAACATGAATAACCATTGTGATATTTGACCCTTTCAAGAATGCTTCAATGCCGGGTATATTGAATTAATTAAACTATTAATGTAGTGAAACTTCCCCTGAAGTAGCTAGGTAAAAGTTATTTCTTAAAATCCATGGCACTAGCTCAGTGGCTTAAGAACTAAAATAAACCACATAGATGTCCTATTTCCCAGCCTAAAATATACTTGAAGAATAGGTGGAGAGCTTAAAAGTTTAAAAAAGTAAATCTATCCACTTTGGCCCCTGATTCTGACTTTATTCACTTTGTTATTTGACGTTTTCAGCAATAAAGATATGGTATCATGTGTATCAAAAGGCAGGGGGGAAAAATTGAAGAATTAAGTCTCTGGAAAAATATCTTAGGCAAGATAAACTACATGAAGCATTTATTTTGAGCTTTTTTCAATGAATGTTTTAGAAAATTAGCATCTATTTTAAAACATTTTATTAAAAGATGTTAAATTGAAATTCTACAGAAAAAATATTGACTGCCAATATTTTCAAACTCAGATCAACAAGAGTATTCCCTTGCTTCAATTTTAATTTTTGTATTATTAATGCAATGGCTGTATTGCCAGAAAAAATTGCTTTGTTGTAAAATAATGCCAAAATGTAGCAATTATTTTGTAATAAGCAAATAAAAATAGATTTCCTACTATTAGTCTACTATGTAGCATCATCCACATCAATTCTATAGTTTTATTTCCTAAATGCTCAAAGCACAACAACATGGTAACTTTTTCTCAGCATGGTATGAGCTAAAAATGTTTGTTTAATACAACTGGTCCTTGATGTGATCCATATTAGATCACTATGTAGTGAATGTTATCAGACGAACAATTAATGAAATGATAAGAATTAACTTGAAAATACTTTCTCTTATATTAGATATACTATATTCTTAAATTGCTGGCTCAATGTGAAACAATTGCAGTTTATTTATTTATTTATTTATTTATTATTTAAATTTTTATACCACCCTTCTCCCGAGGGACTCAGGGCGGTGCACAGCCACAATAAAATACGTATATCCATAAAATTTAAAAGTTGTACTTTATGGAATTATGTAGTTGCTAGATAGGATTTATGGAATTAGAAAACATTTGCTAAAGTAAGATGACATTGCAAGTAGGTTTTAAAAATAATAAACCATTGAAGGTTTAGAAAGGGTCAAATAGCAAAAACATATAGAAAGGATAAGAGAATTGAACATTTGTGAGAGCTTGTGAGATGACATACAGAACATTTACATTCAGCAAAAGTGAATGTTGAAAGCAGAACTCTATAGTCAAGTTAAACTATGATTAAACACTAAATCTGGATTTCTTATCCTTTCTTGCTTCATATGTAAAACTGGAGCTTTTCAGCAGTGCTTGAAATAAGTACTGGATTTTTATTTAAATCAGAAACTGAAATCTGTGAATATGTCAACTGCTTCAGAAAGCAGATTAAACTGATATGACCACACAGAAGGTTGTGATGGAGTTGTTTGCTGTATCATGAAACATTCATAATGGCAATTCGCTGAAGGGGCAAACTATTGTCTGAGGAGTAAGCATAGGAAACCAATGCAACCTGCAGATGTTTCTCCTTAATTCAGTTGATAATTCTGCATTTTCACTTCCAAGGAAAACAGCAGCCTTGACAATGTTAGTTACAAAGCTTTCATAGCAATAAAGCAGAAAGATCTACATGCTTAGCAATTTCTTCCTATATATCTCAATTCCAAGGAGACGGTTTAAATGATTTCAAAGTCTGGATCTCAGAGTACTCAGCAATGACAGTTACTATATATGTGTAAAGAAAAAGCTGAATTGTATAGTATTGAATACTCATCTGCAGTTTACAGGGCTCCGGGATTAGAAACAAGTAAGCGCAAGCAAACTAGATCTTCTTACCTCCTCATGCACTCCAGGGCCTGAGTGAAGACCTGCGGAGCCATTCCATGTTCATGTTGCAGTATGAGACATTGCTCCAGGGTCACCGACATGGCAGTCCGATCCTTGGCACTTTTACAGCTTGTAAACCGAACACCATTTAGTCTGCGGCAAATCTGGAAAAAAGAATGCTTGGTATTAGTTCCACGTATCGCAGGACAAATATATAGATACAGTATTACCCCAGAATTACTAGGAGAATTTCATAGCTGACACTGGGATGAGATTAGAATTCAAGAAATGTAGAATCTATAGTCAATCTTGAATTATTTTAAGTATGATTATGTGCTGTCAAATTGTGTTTGAATTCTAGCAACCACATCTTTTCTGTGATGAACTGTCCCTAGCCTATTCTTTCAAATCTCCCAATAGTGTACTCATCATTACTATAACTGAGTTCATCCACCTGTATTCATTCATTCATACGTACATTCATACAATCTATTTCTGGAGGGAGAACCTTCCAGATGACAGAGATTATAGCAGAAAAGGCACATTCCTGCCAGCTGACACATCTTGACTGATGGGACCCATATCATGCCTTGCTGGTGGTTGCCCTACTCTTTCCTAGCATTAGAGTCTCTTCCAGAAAGCTGGGATTTCACAGAATGTGTTTGATGTAGGAGAATTGGAGCCTAGTCATTTGTGCCTCAGAGTGAGAACTCTGAGATGATTTGTTCAGTAACCCATTGATCTGTGTTTTTGGCTGTCCACAGTATTCTCAGGAATCTTCTCTAAAATCAAAGTTTAAGGGTGTCAATACTCTACATACGTTACTTGTTTAAATCTCAACTTTTGCTTTCCCAGAGTGACACAGGGAATACCATGGCTTGCATGACTCTGATCTTTGTAGGTATAGACATATCACGGCATTTGAATATTTTTAAGCCTTTCAAGACTGCTCTACTGAATCCTAGTTTGTGGCATATTTCATATCTGCTTGTTCCTTTACTGTTCATGGATGATCCTAAAAAGCAAAAGCTATTCATCACTTCAATATCTTCTTCTTCTCCTTCTTCCTCCTCCTCCACCTATTGTCATTACTTTAGTTAGATATAGATATGCTCTACAGATATTAGAGGACAATTTTCAATACATGCCATATTTATTGGGGCCACTGAACAAAAAAAACCAAAACCTATCAGTAGAACCCAGATTGCCTACTTCAGCCATGGAATATGGGTTTTCAAGTGTCAAAATCTACAGAATGGTGGATATAACTTCATGATGCATGCGCCATCCCTTTTCTATATATATCAATGTCATGCCCAGTTTCTTGTAAATTTTTAACTCTCTTGTGAACCTCACTGGTCAAGCTATAGCATTGCAATCCTCAGTGCCCATCATTGCCATTTCTATGCAGAACAAGGCAACTGGTAATAGCACCCTCAGTAGAAAATGGGCAGGCTTCTTCTAGGGCAGCCAAGCTGGCAATAGTGTCAATAGTTTAACAGCATTTTCTTTTTAAATTAGTGGCTGCCAATGAGATATTTCTAACATTTCTTGAGATATCTACAGAAACTACACAATTATGATATATGTAGAGCAGTAGTGGGTTTCAAATCCCAGTTCAAGTGTGTGCGTGCAATGCTTCCGCGCATGCGCAGAGATGTCCAGGCAGGTGGGTGGAGCCTCTCGTTGCCACCACTACCGGTTTGCCCAATCCAGGGTGAACCGGTAGCAACCCACCACTGATATAGAGATATATGGAAAGCCGTTTGGTTTAGTGATTAAGGCAGGAGACTGCAAGTTCTAGTCCCGCCATAGCCATGAAAGCCAGCTGGATGACTTTAGGTCAGTTACTCTCAGACCACCTCACAGGGTTGCTGTTGTGGGGAAAATAGAAGGAGGAAGGTGTGTTGGATTTGTTCGCCACCTTGAATTATTTGTAAAACTAATAAAAGTTGGATATAAATAATCAAATATTATAATAATCAAATAAATGTACTTTTAACATCAAAATCAACAAAGTAGAAAAAGCATGGCTTCTGGAATTCTTGCCACCTCCTTTATGAACAATGACCATTGGTGCTTTTGCCTTCATCTTTGTGTAATAAAGTAATGGGTTGCATCTGCATCTGTATATATGCACTTTTCCCCAAAGGTTGTGCATATGCATTTCCTATATACATGAGTGTCTAAACATATTTCTACTTTTCCTATATTTCTTCTGTATTGTGTTGTGGTTTGTGTATATGTACGCAATGCAAAGTACAGAGCAAGCTGCATACATTCCACTATGAGTCACATGACAGGAGGGAGGGGCCTTAGACTGAAGCTGTCATCAGCATTCCAAGGCTTTGCCCATCTGGGAAATCTTCTCAGCAGGCTTCAACTTTACCTAGTCCATTTTCAGACTTAATCTGTTTTTTACTGGCTTCTTCCTCACATCAAATTTAGTCCTGTTCTATTTCTTTGTCACATAAATCACATATAATCCTGAAGCCCTTTAAGTAATCTCCAGAATTCTGATGAATTAGAAATATTAAAAATAGTCGAAATCTTACAATGATGCCCAGACTGAATTTATGCAACAGTGCCCAGAACCTAAAATTTTGCTAATCCTGGAGGAAATCATGCCATGATAGAACCACGATAGAATGGTTTGGTTCTCCAACCCAACAAGACAGACACAGACTTCAGAGGATAATTGGAACTGCAGAAAAAACAATTGCTACCAACCTGCCTTCCATTGAGGACCTGTATACTGCATGAGTCAAAAAGAGGGCTGTGAAAATATTTACAGACCCTTCACATTCTGGACATAAACTGTTTCAACTCCTACCCTCAAAACGATGCTAGAGGGCACTGTACATCAGAACAAGTAGACACAAGAACAGTTTTTTCCTGAATGCCATCACTCTGCTAAACAAATAATTCCCTCAACACTGTCAAACTAGTTACTAAGTCTGCAATACTATTAATCTTCTCATTGTTCCCATCACCCATTTCCTCCCATTTATGACTGTGACTGTAACCTTGTTGTTGGTATCCTTAAGATTTATATTGACTGTTTCCCTATGACTATCATTAAGTGTTGTACCTTATGATTCTTGACGAATGTATCTTTTCTTTTATGTACACTGAGAGCGTATGCACCAAGATAAATTCCTTGTGTGTCCAATCACACTTGGCCAATAAAGAATTCTATTCTATTCTATTCTATTCTATTCTATTCCCTAACCTAACCTAACCTAACCTAACCTAACCTAACCTAACCTAACCTAACCTAACCTAACCAAACCAAATGTCTTAAAATCAGAAAACTGGAAGGTGTTTCTATAATCTTTTTAGTCAAGGAAACAACATGGCACAACAGCAGAGAACATGCAGGGGTCTGAAGCTTTCTGTACTGCTGCTTATTCTGAAGACATAACGTTGTCATGGGAGATAAGTGACAACATACTTAAGTTAACTTTCTTTAATCTTACCTCAGCAGCTTGCCAAAGAATATCAACATTCTTATTTTTTCTTGCATGTACATTCTGTCCAAGGAATCTCAATAGTTCAGGCAGGCATGTTTGACTCCGAGATCGAGGTAGACCTGAAGAAAGAAAAAAAACCACCTTAACAAATGCCCAATAGCATTTTTTCATCTGAGAATGGATAGGTTATGTTTAGCAACAGAGAGTTATTCTCATGACTGTATCTCTCCTATCCAAGCTACATAAGCTGACAGCTTGACATTAGCAATGGGGGGGGGGGGGGAGAGGGGATATTTGAATGTAAGGAGGAAGGGGGGGGGATGGAAGCTTGTGAGCAGCTTCAGCCAGCCCAGGTCAACTATCGGTATGCAGAGTTGGGAACCAAGAACCTGTTTCCTAAACAATATACAAGCACCTAATTGGACCGGATAACCGGGGGATGGTTGGCGGGGAAAGAGGAAAATTTACTTTGTATTGTTTGCATGAGAAAACCTCAGATTCAGCTTATGCTATATCTGTAAGCTTCAGTAAAGTATACTCTTGGCAAAAAAACCCCCAAATGGCCAGGAGTCTTTCTTTGCCAGATGACTGAATGGCACAGTTGACAGTTATGTTTTTAGCAAAATCATAGAAATTCAATAGAATTTAGGAAATCTGAACTAGAGTACGTAAAACCTATGGATCACCCAATATTCTTTACTTCAGGAACTGGAACTATACATAATAGGAATTCAGAAGCCATTCTTACACATCTCACATCAACTGATGTGTTGCATCTGATATGGTGAACTCCATGAAAATTTATACTTTTTAATAAAATGTGTTAGTTGGAAAAAGTACTACTAGATTCCTTCAGATTTTTGGGGACAGCCTATGAGGGCCATGAGCACTCTTTTGTAATGGTTGCACTTTCCTTTTGAGGGAGCAGATAGAAAAAAGAGGATTGGTAAAAGGTAAGCAGCAATAGTGAAAGACCATCTTGTATTCTAAACTGTAAATTCCTTGAACAATATTGCTAAAATTAATATGAATATCCCTTTTCTTATCCACATCTGAGCACAGAACTGATTTAGTGCTGAATTTGCATATCATGAATGTGCTGGCATCATCATTGCAGGAAACAGACTGCCAGCTATTTAAAACAAAAACAGCAGCAAATAAAACTGGAGTTATACTTTTTCATTTCAGTAAGTAGAAGGACTTGAAAAAGACATTTAAATGCCATACTGTCAAAGTGACCTACGAAGATCAGAATCATGCAGGCCATGGTATTCTCCATAAAAGTGAAAGTTGGACTATGAAGAAGTAGAATAAGAAGATTGATGCTTTTAAAATTTGGTGTTGGTAAAGACTCTTGAAAATATCATGGGCAATCAAGAAAACAAACTAACAGATCATTGAATAAATCAATCCTGAGTTCTCACTCAAGACATACTTGATTAGCTCAAATTAGCCTACACTGGGCATTATGAGAAGTATTAGAGCTTTCTGAAGAAGGCTCTAATGCTGGGAAAGGTAAGGAAAGAGGCAAGGATGACCATCAGCGAGTTAGGTAGACACCATTATTGTGGCAATAAGTGCAGCACTCGACAAACTGAAAGACCAGGTTAGGGATAGAATCTATCAGGGGTGTCAAACTGGCAACCCATGGGCTGGATGCGTCATGCGCAGGCCACGCCTACCCCAGAGTTTGACATCCGTGGGATAGATTGTCATGGAAAATATTTATGTGGTCACTAAGCAATGAGTTGATGATGCATATCAATCAATCAACTTCAATTGGAATTGTATTTTGGTTACTCTACATGTGTCTATGGCCACACAAACCCTTCAGTATCAGGGTTTAGGGACTGTACACAGGAGGTTGATACTGTTCCATTTTACCAAACCCAACTCAAAACATTAACTGAGATTTTATTTATTTATTTATTTATTTATTGTTAAATTTGTATACCGCCCTTCTCCCTGAGGACTCAGGGCGGTGAACAGCCAAGTAAAAACATAAAACTACAAACATTAAAATACAATTAAATATATATATATATAAATATATATAAATTTGGCCCTAAGAAACCTCAATGTATTAAAGAAACCTCAATGTATTCGGGAGACATAGCTACTGATTTTTAATTGTTTTGTTATCATATAAAAGCAGATCTTTTCTTGATTTAAATTGTGTTGAATACAAATATCTGTAATTCACACTTACAATCTTCAGGCAAAACTTCTTTGAACTGTTCAAAGTAGGAATTCAACCGCACTAAGCTTTCCATGTTAATAATTTCCTGCAAGGAGGTATCGCCAAACCTTTAAAAATTTAAAGGACCTTATTAATAGAGCTTTCAAACAAAAATGGGAGAACATCTGCAAGCTTTCAAATTGTTCTTTTCAAAAGGAGTCTGGCACATATATGGGAACACTTTAAAGCAGCTGTGACTTTCCTGGGATTGCATGATTGCCCTTTATAGCCGAGAAACAATCTTGGCAAAAAGACATCTTATTTATTTTCCATAAGCATTACATAGGCATCAATTTCTTGTTCAGTTGCTAAATCATGCCCGACTCCTTGCGATCCCATGGAGTACAGCACACCAGGCCTCCCCATCCTCCACTGTTTCCATGCATGCTCCAAATCACATGTTGCCTTTTGAATATGGATACTGCATGATCTACTGGATAATGTTGTAAATGCCTCAAGATATCCCACAAAGCCAAGCTTGCATCTAATCTTAAATATAATATCAGCAGGCTAGATAGAGTAGTAATCTATATAGTAGACATATAAGTACTGATTCCACAAAGGTTTTCATGTCATTCAACTTCTTCCTGAGCTATCCTTTAAATAACGACTTGGAAATTCATTCAGTATATATCTAGGAGGAGGAAAACCAATTTATCTGCTGCCTGTTAAATATGAAAGATTAGAAAAGAGAATGTGTAGGTATATGTACTTTTCTGCTAAAGTCTGCTGTTCATTGATTCCCACGTTGAAGAGTACTGGTTGAACTCTCAGCAACATGCCACTCTGGATTTCACGAGGCAAGGCATCGAACAAGGTGCTTGGTAGTGGAATCCTCACATTAAATCCATCCCTAATTTAGACAAGAAAGTTGAAGCTAATCAAGCAATAGTATTATTTTCAGAAAGGCCCCTTTAAAAAATATTTAAGGCATACAGTATGTTGCTATCTAGGAGATTGCTAACAGTAACTAAAATCAAAATTCTAAGCACTCTAAGAATCTCCATTCTTGGCAGTTTTCAGAAAGCAATGGAAATACAGTATAATAGGAGAATCTAAAGACCTGGCTTGAATGTCATATCAGCCCAAGAGTCTAAGCTTAACAAACCATGTTGTTCAAGAAAAGCACATTGATATAAACAACCTCTTAATTAGCAGTTTGCTCATAGTGAGTGGATACATTAACTACCAAAATATTATAGTTACATGTGCCCAGACATGGTCAAATCAGGCCGACCTTATATCTACATGAAAACTCACTTCTTGTCCACCTTTGATTATTATAACATGCATTTCTTAACTATTTCTGGTTAGTTTTTTTTTTTTTTTTAAATTTATTTTTATATGCCGCTCTTCTCCGGAGACTCAGGGCGGCTTACAATGCATTAAGCAATAGCCTTCATACTTTTGTATATTTTATACAAAGTCAGCTTATTGCCCCCACAAACCGGGTCCTAGTTAAGTTAGTAACATAAAACTGGAATGAACAGGCTATATCATACTGGCTGGGGAATTCTTGAAGTGTAGATCTCTTAGAGTTGCTGAGGTTAAGAAATTCTGGACTAGACTTCCAGTTGACGTTGCGGCGCTATTGGACACGAAGAGCGGGGCTCTGCAAAATCATGCCAAATCCCTTCATTGGAGGACCCCATAAGGGGCTAAAGTCACCCTGTAGGGGTGACAAAGAGTGGAGGGGTGTCCTGCAGGTCACGGAGAGCGGTGGCTCTCCTGCTTGACCCAGGGCTAATTCCCTCTCAGCTGACAACGAAGAGGAGTGGCAGCCATTATGGCTGCTGTGAAGCTGGGGCAGCCGAAGAAACAAAGAATGTGCTGGAGCGGTGTGCATAAACAGTAACTGGAACTGGATGAGGTTACCTTTTTTTACCTAAAACCTACCCCAAAGAAAATTAACTTGGAAAAGAGATTCTTTGAAACGTTTGTTTAAGTGGCAAAAAATTACAGAGAGAAAAATTACAGACCCAGAAGAAAAGATTTTAAAAAGAGAGCGCAAAACCTTTAAAAACATTGAAAGATTGGAACTCTAATTTTTACTGGCAATAAGGCATTTTAAAATGCTGGAATTACCTGTCAGAATTTTGATTATCTGTTTGAATAAATACAAATGGAACCTGTTAGAATTTGTGCAATGTTGAAGTTAAGCTGAAGGCGCCATCTACTGGTGAATGAAATAGACAGTATACTCCTACAACTCTGGGAAAAATACCGATAAGACAGAGGAGAAAGTAGAAATAACATCTGAAGGATTACTGTGCTATCTATTGCTCTATATTTATCTGCTCCAAGACTACTGGAGTTCTAATGGTGAAAACATGAAAGACATTTAATTAGAGTGACTTTCAAACATCAGGAGTTATGATTGAACTTATAGAGTGGATTTAAGGAGACATTTGGAAATCTTCCTGGATTACTTAAAAAGAGCTAAATTGACTAACTGTGGGACATAAAGAATTATATTACTGTATTCCCTGAGGAGCAATGTCTGGACTGAGTAAATGTTTTTCAGATCGACTTTCTGAGATCAAAGATAATTGAGACTCTGGGACAGTGATAGACCACTGACAGACTATTGAGCTATACTGGGACTTATTAAAAGAAGACAAGATGTTTCAGCAGGGGGAAATAAGTGGGTTTTAAAAAGAATTGGCGTTGATGTTTCAAAGCATTTACGATATCATGACAAGGAATCACAGGAGATATAATGGATTTAATGAATAACATAAATGGGAAGCTAGAAAGTGTTCCACAAGGGATAATGAATAATGATCAAAAAGCCCAGGAAACTGAGGAGATAATAGAGCGACCAGGGGAAAGGATAGAATGGACAAATCAACAAATAAAACAAGAAGATAAGAAAGAGAAAGTAATAAAAACTTATGAAGCAATTCAGGGAAAATACATGCTAAAAGACCAAAAAATGATACTGGATAAACAGAAAGATATCTTTGAAAATAAAATAGAGATTTGGGCAAATCCTCCGGAGGCTTGGTAGCAAAAGATAGTAGAAATGGAAGAAATACTTAAGTTAATCAGGAAAGATGTAGATAGAGATGAAGACCCAAGGGAGGAATTTGGAGGCAAGTTAAAAAATTAGTAAGAATTGAAATATTAAAATGGGCAAGAGGTGATGGATAAAGGAAATGTTATGTAACACAAGATTGGCTTTATTAGGAGCTAGATGTTGTGGCCTGCCATTGGCCAGCAAAGCTGGCAGCAGAGTCGGACAGTGATGAGGTTGGGGAGAAACTTGGGTCAGTCCTGGGGCCTGGGGAAAGCTCGGACGAGGGTTCTGCATCGGAGGCAGAGAGGGGACCAAGGCCATCTGATAGTTATGTGCTGCCTCCGGAGTTTCCGGAGTCTCCGGTGTCTGACATAAGCGAGGCAGAAGAACAGTGGGAGCCTGTTCCCAGTGTGCACATGCGCAGAGCTTCCAGAAGACAAGAACAATTAAGTCAATTTGGGAGTAAGGCTTGGAAATGATTGGCCCCTTCCATAAGACATAAAAGAGGAGCGAACGGGACGTGAGCTTTTGCAGGAAGCAATTAGTTCATCTGGTCGGTTCAAGCTTTGAAAAGTTCTGTTTGACTCTGTGCCAAGTTTGGCCTTGCCCTGTGTTTGGCAATTAGTTCTCTGGCAGCATTCCAGGGGAGATAAGGTGCGTGTTTATAAACATTCCCCTGAAAGACTGTTTGTGAAGCCTTGCAGACTGTGAATGACAATAATTCACAGCCGTGTAAATAAAAGAGGTTTTGCCAGGACTAAGATTGTGCTTTATACTTTCTAAGGAAGCCTAGATCAGAACACTAGAAAAGAGGCAGAAACAAGAAATAGGGAGAATATTATTATGCATATTTTTATATAATATACTAAAAGTCATAGCTAGATATAAAGATTAGATGGTGAAAGATCGTGACACTATGTATGTTTTAATGATAATTGTTATTGTCATTGGAATGGGGGGCTAAAATGTTGAACAACTAAATAATGAAGGCCTATATTTTATCACAAATATATGTATGTATATGTGTGTGTGTGTTTGTGTATGCATGTATGTGAGAAGACTACATTTCCTCCTCAGAATACTGAAGAAACCACATTTGTTATCTTCTTGCATACAGTACAAATGAAAGTTGTTATTTATTCCTTCTACAAATCCTTATCCAAGAGCTTCATTCATAATTTTAAAAAGGATAACGTGGCTTGCATTTTATCTTAAGTAAAACAGATGGTCAATTTATGTTTACATGTTGCACAAGAGTAACACATTGCTTTAAGCACTCTACTAATTAGAACATGTTCTAAAATGTTCCTTATTAGGGAAAGCATTTCTCCTTTCTTTCCCTTCCCCAACCTCTCTTCTCCATTCCTACTCCAATTTTTTACCTATTTCCTGTAATGACTGGCAGCATATCAGCAGAAGCCATAGAAGTGGCCTGAGTTACTTTAAACGTTACATTTCTCAAGTCCATTATTCCCACACTCATATCTTCTAGCATAGCCAGTTCTTCTCCTAAATGAAAAAAAAAATGAAGACAATATTAATATGATTACAAAATATATGTTTACATTTATTGCCAACTATTATAAAGTAGTCTTTGAGGCAAGCTGAAGCCCCAGTGATTCTGAATAAGTTTGTTTAGTTTTCTTGAAAACATGAGATAATGTCTGGGATTTACTTTTCAATTTCTTAGTTAACTTGTATCTCTGAAATTCCCTAAAGCAGGGGTCCCCAAACCCTGGTCCATGAACCGACATCAGTCTACGGCATGCCAAAAACCAGACCGCGCAAACAAGCAAAGCCCCATCTGCACACTGCAGGCAGCACACAAAACCATGCACCCTCCGGTCTGCAGAAAAACCTGTCTCCACGGAACCAGTCTCTAATGGCCAAAAGTTTGGGGGCCACAGCCCTAAAGTATCTCTCCAAGCACTAACCAAGTTTGAACTGCTTAGCTTCTGAACCCAGATAAGGATGAGCTATGACTGCTGTTCACACTTTAATTGCAATATAACACTCCTACAGTGTAACAGGAACTAGCCATGTTTCCTGGGTCCAACATCACATCCTCATACTAATATGAGCTCTGAGTTGCACCAATAGTGAGATGAGTGGCATATACATTTAATAAATAAATAAACATGATAAAGATGTCAGTGCAGTGATAGCTAACATGGAGGCATTCCTCTGCAGACTTGCAGAGACTTGCAATTTGTGCCAGCACCATAAGCAGAAATTAAGCCATCAAAAATTACTTTGGATAGCGTGATCAGTGGCATATAAATTTATAAATTAATAAATAAATCCAATTTCCAAAGTAACTTGTAAGTTTGGATTGACATTTCAACTTTAATGTCTCAATTTTGCCAAGGCTTTCAGCTAAAAATAGTTGCCATTGTTTGAGATAACACAATCCAAATAAAATTAATTTCAACAAATCCAAATATTTAGGTACACTCCAACAGAAAGTTTTCCATTCAAAAAGGCAGCCAGTGTTAAAAATTTGTTCGTCCTGCTGAACAACTCTTCTCTAATTGCTCTTCTGTTGCTTGAGGAACTTATCAGTACACACCAAGTTCATTACACAGTTTCTGAATTTGGACCCTGTCCATAATCATCACAAGCATCTTTGATTTTTAGTTGCATTGGATTCTGTTGACTGATTTAAAATTTAATTGTATTTCATGGTTTCATTCTAAACCTACCTAGAGCCTTTTTGTGTTTGAATAACAAGACCTACATTATCTACACATATTTCATTAAGCGTAACGCTTCAGGGAATTAATAACTCTGCATGCTTTCCCCATGCAATGTTCTTTACCGTAAGTACTTAAAAGGCTTTCAAACTGGGCCAGCAGACCAATGGTATACAGCTGCCTCAGGAATCCATTATCATGCAGGCAATTCCTCAGCTTGATAATGAAACCACAGATCAGGGCAGTAAGCTGCATGAAAGAATACAAAAAGAAAACAATTGAAGATACTTGCCAAGGTTTCTCAAGTTTACTCAGCCAATACTAATATGGCAGATTGCTTCTGAATGGATGAATCATAAAGGTCATTAGACTTCCACTGCAATCTGAAGACAGAATTGCAATTGTTTTTCACGCTATCAGTTTTATTGCACTTTTTGTTATGTTCATCCATCAGTGCCTCCCATAGTAACTGCTATGGGAGATTCAGAAGTGGAAGATTCAATTCACCTGTGCAACCATTTGAAACTCAGCACAAATACTTATCCAACCTTTGCAGTCAGCATCATTTTATTAAATTATGTTTTAATGGATCTGTAAATGATTTTTAAAAGGTTGTCCACCTAATACTTCTTATTACTGAAAACTGACTGAATACTCTCAGCATTTGGTCAACTTTGCCAAAATGGTAAATGGATATCAAGAAGTAATAGCGTATTCTATAGGTAGGATGTCACCATTCAGTGCTGGAATCCTAAATTCACATTTTCTAAAAGGATAACCCCCAAGAAAAAGTCTTGGAGGACTTATTAAAATCCAGATGACTTAGCAGCCCTTTAGGTATATAATTCCCATATGCCTATGCCATCACTTCAAGTTCTGCTTGGAAGCAGATTAGAACTCAGTGCCATTATTTTAAGATTTTCTGGTTAATTCTATATATTTGGTGCCAATTAATACTGCGTGTAATCATCTTGCACCAAGGCTTCAGAATAGTTTCAAAAGCAGGCCAATATGTGATATCCCTACTATGGCCATATTTTTTTCGGAAACAATAAAGGAGAAATCTGAAAAGGGGGCAAATATGAAAGAAGTTTGTAAAGATAAAAAATGTTTATTTTTATAACTTTGCTTTACAAAGGAAAACGCAGAAGCAAAACCAAAAGAAATTTTACAAAGATGTGTATTCTAATAAAAACATCTCAAATTAAACACTATACATTTATTTTAAAGAGACAATTCAATTGCCATATTTTTCACATGAATATGAAAGTCTGTGCATTAAGTGGTACCATTAATACAGTAAAAGTTAAATGAGCAAAATAAGAGATGGCATAGTGGTTAGATGCAGTATTGCAGGCAAACTCTGGCCACAGCTTGGAATTTGATTTTGATCAGCTCAAGGTTGACTCAGCCTTCCATCCTTCTGAAGTAGGTAAAATGAAGACCCAGGTTGCTGGGGGCAAATATGCTGATATTGTAAACCACTCAGAGTATGCTTGTAAAGCACTATGGAGCAATACATAAATCTAAGTGCTACTGCTATAAAGACAAAAGTGAGTTTTTGAAAAATAAGTCTAAAGTACAGCTTTTTTATAAAGTTCTGTCCTTTATAATAAAGGACACACGGGCACTCTAAATATTCCAAAAGTTTATCACCGCAGAGGAGAAATCTGTGACTATGTTATCTGGTTCCAAAATTGCTAAAGTGCCCTACATGATCACTCTCCCCTTTTGAGTACAATCATTGTTTTCAAACTGTTAATCCTCCAAGCACAAATCCCAAAGTCCAAAATATAGATTCCATGTTCTTGCTTACAGTTTGGCAAAAGACCACATCCCTCCGGTACTGAAGGCTTAAGCAAAGAGCTATGGTGGGGGCACTGTCCTGCATTAAAAGAAAGACCATTGCTTTCTTTGCTGTGTCACTCATCATGGCCACACAGTCCGTGAGCGTTGTTAGCAGAGGATAAAGAGCCTCACTCCATTCACCTACAGGTCAGAAAAGAGAAGAGCAAGGCACTTCTGTATGTTTATGTATTTTGGTTTTAAGTACAATTTAATATCGCCTGAAGGCATCTAAGAATCCCAAGACTGCACATATCTCAGTCTCAGTCATGATCTATCAGTTGCATTCAAACATCATAGATAGATAGGTAGATAGATAGGTAGGTAGGTAGGTAGGTAGGTAGGTAGGTAGATAGATAGATAGATAGATAGATAGATAGATAGATAGATAGATAGATAGATAGATAGATAGATATAATTTAGATTGAGTGATCATCAACTCAAGATACTATTATCCATAGTTTATTTTGTGAGAAAGAGGGATAGTCTCTCTCTCTCTCTCTCTCTCTCTCTCTCTCTCTCTCTCTCTCCCCCCACTCAAAAGTCAATGTAGTAGAAAATGTACAATCAGCAAAAGATGTTAAATTAAGACAGTCATTCCCTGTCCCCCTCCCCCCCCTGAGTTTTTCAAGTACAAATACGATGAATGGAGGGGGAAAATATACATACCTGGGTTGGATTCTTCAGGAGTAGGACTGCAATCTGCATAAAAATGGAGGTGTAACATGCATGATTAAGGGGCAGCAACACATTTTAAAGATAAGCAACTGAAATGCTTAGCACAAGCAGTCTCAAATATTTGGGGAGGGGTATCAATTTATATAGGAGTGGGCCATCTATGGTTGTAGGGATGCACATGTCCTGAAACTTTTTTCAAAAGCCTTCTGCAAAAAATCCAAGTAAGAACAATATAGCACAACTGCTCTGTAGGGAAAGGCAAGAAGGAGAAGGAGAGAATTAGCACAGAGAGGAAAAAAATGGGTTGTGAAAAAAACAGCAAATAGGTGACTCAACTCATGTTGCTTCTAGTCTTGTCCACTGTTTGAATAAGCTCATTCATTATTGACATGCAGCTTCCTATAAATTTCTTGCAATGAAAGAAAACACATGGTTGCTTCTTCCTGCTGTAGCCTCTTTCAAGATCCTCTTTTCTGCTTAAAACACACTACACCTGCTGGTAGGAGGACCAAAATCCCTGTGCTACCAATTCACGGAAGCACCTAGAAACTGGGAAAAATACAGGTGTATCATTTTGGGCCTTATCTACTACAGCCTACAGAGTTTGAGCCATCAGCTTCATGGCTTGCATTAGAAGCTACTAAATAGAATAGCAGAATATCAACTATTTGGGGTGTACCAAATAACCCAAATATACACAAAGACATTTTAAAGGTGTGCACCTGAAACATTTAATGTGTACAGTTAAAAATGTAAAGAATAAATATGGTGTGTTTGTGAAGAAAATTCACCAGAAAAAAAAGATTAAAAGCAAACTTTCTTGGAAATGTTAATTTAATGACAAATTCAATTTCATTTCAAATAGCCTTCATTCAGGCTCTATTGAACAGTACAACTGGCAACCCATCACATCATTTTTTCCAGCTTTTATGTATGTTTTACACTCTTCTCCAATGTTAAAAAATTGTTTACAACTTTCAGCAAGAAACACATTTATGAACATTTATTAATAGTTTAATTGATTTTATTGTCTGTTCTTTAATTTTTTAAATAATATTTAAACTCACTACACCAAGTTTATTGATGGATTAGAAGTATACACCAGCAACTTAAAGAGCTGGCAGGAGGCTGGTGAAAAGGGAAATCTGTTGGTTTGCTGCAGACGAACTAGAATCTGTGCTTAACGTGCATTCATAAAAAATACTATTATTCCATTTTCTTCCCTACCTGCTTTTAAAACTTCTTTAAAACTTCTAACTTTTTATAAGTTTAGTATGTGGTCCCTTGGAGTGCAAGGCGATCAAACTGGTCAATCCTAGAGGAGATCAACCCTGACTGCTCTTTAGAAGGCCAGATCCTGGAGATGAAACTCAAATACTTTGGCCACCTAAAGAGAAGGAAGGACTCACTGGAGAAGAGCCTAATGCTGGGTGAGGGCAAAAGAAGAAGGGGATGAATCAGAGAATGAAGTGGCTGGATGGAGTCACTGAAGTAGTCGGCACGACCTTAAATGGACTCCAGGGGATGGTAGAGGATAGGAAAGCTTGGGGAAACGTTGTCCATGGGGTCACGATGAGTGGGGAACGACTTCGCGACTAACAACAATAACAGTAAACAACTCTGTCACAAATAACAGAAGAACTTAAGTCCAGCAGAATTTACTTGACCATTACAGTATTTTCGGAGTATAAGACACACCTTAGTTTTTGGGGAGGAAAATAAGAAAAAAGCTGATTGGCAGGAGAATACCCCCCAATCACCTGTTCCCAGAGGTGAATTTTAGCAACAGGTTCCTTGGTTGTGAGCTCTGTGCCTTGCTTTTTTTTACTTTTTTTTTTCTGCCTCTGAAACTTCTGAAACTGTGTTTCAGAAAAAACTTTTTTTCTTGCCTCTGTAAGCCTCCGAAACAGCTTCAGAAAAAAAGCCTCTGAAGCTCTGTTTGGAAACTTCTGTTCTTAAGCTTCTTTTCTGATGCTTTTTTCAGCCTCTGAAACCTCCATTTGAGAAGCTGGTCAGGGCTACATTCGGAGTATAAGACGCACCCAGATTTTCACCCTCTTTTTTGGGGGAAAAAGGTGCGTCTTATACTCAGAAAAATTCAGTATATACTTCCCTGTCTCTTCTTCCCTTGAACTATGATTCCAAAGGTCTGAATTTAGTTTACACCAAGAAAATAAAAGCCTAATGTTTAAGTGATAATAATCCACCAGAATCAATCCATGGAAGTAGATGGTAATGGATCCCAATCTACCATGCTGGTCCAGTACAGGTTGGTAAATAAATATTTTTTAACTTCTGAGTCCAGGGCTGAGTGACTGGCCTAGCCAGCTTCTGTGCCTAAGGAGGATAGGACCTGGGCTTCCCTACTCCTACTCCAGCACTTTAACCATTTCATTATTCTATCTATATCATGACAGATAGACAGACAGCTAGATATCTTCATATTATATGACAAGTTCCTTAGGGTTGTTCTATGGATGGAGAATGGAGGTGAGGATAAGTGCAAGAAATTCAGGCTGGAACTTTATATGATGGAAAAACATTAAGGTCAGCATCTTATCTTCTGTCATAAGAGAAGATTTTTTGTTTGGTTTTTAATGAAGTGATTGCATAAAGATTCGGCTGTCACTTGCAGGAAGAGCAGGAAAACATTCCACAAGTGATATTGCATTATACATTTAGCATTGGAAAATATTGTTAGAGAGAGAGGAACAAAGCTATATTAGTTTATGTCTAGTTCCAACCGCTGAATTTAATTTTGTAATTTTATAGCATACCTGCAACTAGAATAGAAACAGTATTCTAATAATAGGCAACACTAAAAACTTAGAAAATGTTTATTGTTCTAATGATTCTGCTGTCATGCTGATTTTTACAATGTCATATTATAAGCATTACACCCCTATGCAATGCCACACTCTTTAAAAAATCCTAAAGGGTTTAAAACGTGACTATGCATTCTCTTCCTAATCTTCTCACTGGTGTGTTTTTAAAAATAAATACTGCCTAACATGACTTCAGCTGTGTAAATAATCAAGTTAAAAATCTCCTGGCTTAGAATGTGATGTTACTCTAATATTTTAGTATGCATTGATTATAGATTAAAATACTTACTGGGAGGGAAAATACACATCAGTATAAATGTGACACTGACTGTATCAATCCATTATTTCAATGGTTATCAAACAAGACAGTATCAGGAAATATTTGATGTAAATATATTCCATGACCTAATACTGTATATATGATATTGCTCTAGTTGGGGGGATTATTTTCCTCATTACCTATCTAATATATGAGATTCGTCTTATAAATTGCCTTTATTAATCTGATGTCATCGGATTATGCCTATATTTTGCACACTTTCACAATAAAATCAGAATGTGTATTAAAATTTTACTATAATAGCTATTTGCACATTAATACACTATTCCATACATAATACATTATTCATTCTTCCACTTTGCTAGTGCTTAACATATATAAATTTAAAGTAGTAACTAGAATTCTGAATAAACCATACATGTACTGTTCTATATTAATAAATTAAAAGAGGCATCTCAGTTATTTCAGATAATAATGTGATTTTACTATTTTAAATAATAATTTATTGTGAAATCACAAACATAAAAAACTGTTGTAAGGAAACATAATGAAGAGACAATATAAGACTATAGGTGTTGTAAAAATTATTTTGAAATGTCAAGCAAGCACATGGAATACAATACATTCTTACTCTACATTCTGAAACATTTATATATAACGTTATGTATTATTCATATTCCAGTATGAACATACTCTGCACTACTTATAGAACATGACAATTAGGGAAGTAGATTTGCAGATGATCACCGCTTTAGATTAGAATAATACTAGTGTTTTTGTAACGAACATGTCAGTGCTATTAATTGATCAATCTTTAACTGTGTTTTAAATACTGTATTATTTAATCAGGTTTCCCAGATAGGTTTGTATGCAAAAGGTTAAATACCTCTGAGCAAACTGTATGTTTCAGAGAATCTCTAAGTAAGCAAAAGTTGATACAGACTCTACCTACCCTGTACAAAATTAGAAATGGCATATTTCTGCAAATTTAAGTATAAATTTTATGTGCATTTGTTTCTCTTTGGATTTTTCCTTTTCTCCCTTGTAGTACTCTTGTAGCTCAGCAATATTCTTAAGTCTCTTTGCATGTGTTGTATTTGGAGATCCTCCCATCGATTTTCAAAACATTTTCAAAGTCTGGGAATTCCTGATCAATATCTTTGATCAGGGATTCCTAAACATTCAAATACAATGATCTGTATTTGCATACCACCTATATCTGGAACTGCTACACATAGTATTGGCCTAAAATAGTCTTTCCCAAAGTGGTGCCCTCTAGTTATCTTAAATTTCAAGTCCCATAACACCCAGCAAATAGATCCAAGAGCCATGTTTGATAGAGGAATTACAGGTTTGTCTGCACATCTCAAGGAAGGCTCACTTAAAGAATCAAATTAATTAAAGAAATGTTTAGATACAGTGATGGGATCCTCCCTGTTTAACAACCAATTTGGTGATCACGCGCTTTGCGTGCTTCACGCACATGCACAGTTTGAAGAAATCTTCACTTTCGTGTTTCTTCGGAGGAGAAACACAGCTGAGGTGCGGCAATCTGCTCTGCCGCGTAAATCAGCTGAGAAGATAAAGATAGGAAAATAGCGCGGGCAGGCAGATGGGTCCATCTGATCATCGGGGCGAAGTGGTTCACTACCAGCTGATTGTCAGAGCTACCGGTTCGCCCGAACTGGTCCAAACCGGTAGAATCTCACCCCTGCTTAGATGGTAGTTTTCACTCTAGAATGAGTCTTGAGTGAGATTAGAGTCACAACACTAACATATAAATCCTGCCCTGTGGATTGCAAAAATGTTCCTCTTTCAAATGTGAGAAGAGCCACACTCATATCCTTTACATGTCCAAAAAGGGCAAATACCTACAGGTATCTGAAATACCTTTAGGGCTTGCAATTTGCTTTCCACGC